AGCCATTGCAGTTGATGCATTCTCGATCGCGTGGACACCTGAAAACAACTTCGCCTTCCCCCCACCTCAACTGATCCCAGCCGTCCTCCATCACGCACAACGCACCCATGCATCACTCACACTGATAGTTCCGCACTGGCCAGGTGCAAGCTGGTGGCCACTCTTGCAACCCTCCCCACGCACTTGGGCACCATACATCCACGCGCACATCCCCCTGACACACGGAAGCCAATGCCTAGACGTAGGGTCCCATTCAACTGCTTTTTCGGGCATGGGACTACCGCACAGCCCAATCACTGCACTGCGAGTGGCATTTGACTAATTCAAAATATCTACACCTTGTGTTCAGATTTGCTCCCAACTTATCAACATGCTCGCGCAGTCCCGCGCCGATTCTATTCTTTCCGAAAAGGTGCAGCCACAGTAGCAGCCAACACGGGAGTGCCAGATAGAGTCTTCAAACGGCTGGGCAGATGGCGAAGCGACACAGCAAAGGAAATGTATGTTACGCCATACGTCGAGCCTCTTATCGAAGCCTCCCGTACCCTCCAAGATTCGACGCATGCGGTGTCATCGGCACAACACACAGAGGCACTCGTACGCAACCGAAGGCCCCCGCTGCCCATGTCTCAGGGAACCCATTTGTAATGAGAACGATGCCAATTGATAAGAAAGAAAGCAAGCTTTCTCAATATTATAATTTTTAAACACACATGTAGTGTTTTTTAAAGTGTGTATTGTGAAAGCGAAGCTGCTTGTACTGCACAATTGGCATCGTCGAAGCGCGCTAAACGCCCTTCTCCAACTACAAAAACCGTGGGTTGGAGCTCATTTCCCTCCACCCACGTTTCTCAATTTTCAAACGGCTCACTCAACATTCCCACCACCCACCCCAGAGTAAACCGCCTTGCTAATGCCACTTGGATAGGGTATATCCTAGCTAGCGTTATTAGTCCGCACTAGCTTGTGTCGAATGATGATACAAATGTTGTAATACGCCATTTGTAATGAGAACGATGCCAATTGATAAGAAAGAAAGCAAGCTTTCTCAATATGACGAGTGTAGCTACCTGCTACCTGTCAGACTTTGAGGATGGGTGGGATGGGCTGCTTAGGATTCTGGAGCAGTGTGGTGTGGTGAGTGTGTGAATTTCAAGGTAGGATACGGAATATAAACTTCTTGTTTGAACCTCCCTTGTGGATGTATGAAACAGGCCCTTATGTGCATAAATGCTTGACTGCTTAGCATGGGAGAGTTAGGCCACAGCCATGGTCAGCTCTGTAGCCTCTCAAAGTACAGCAAACCAGCGTGGCCACCGCCGTAGCCACGCAGACCATGGCCATGGCCAGTATAAGCCAGTCTGATGCAAATAAGAGCTGTAAGCATAGATTCAGACCAAATTAGAACTGGAAGCAACAGCTCTCACAATAATATATAACACAAAACGGTGCTCATTATGAAACGCATCTCACACGATGACAAGTCCCACATGCCCACAAGACCCTACCATACTAAGCTTTAGCTCTTTACGGAGCACAAAATATAATGAACAAGCTACTAATTGACAGCTCGTCTGCCTAAAGCGGTGAAGGAAGATGCTACAGTGGTGCTGAGCTCAACTGCCCGCGCTGTCTCGTCGTCCAATGAACGCGCGCGGATGAACCGGCAGAGGCTGCAGTCGGTGTGCAGCAGCGACGAGACCTGGTAGTCGTCTACAGTGCCGTCAATGAAACCGTCGGCGTTATCCCCAGGCACGACGTACGCGTTAAAGAGTTTGCTGTACACCAGGGTTTGCTTCTCCCTGTGGAAAGGGGGGAGGACAGATAGAGACAATAATAAGCCCGAGTTCAGTAATCCGATCGCTACTGAAAGAAAAAGTACTAACGTCAATTATAGGGGTCAATAGAGTGAAGGGGCTAATGAATGTAATGGATATCTAGGAGTGCAGGCTGTCTAAGGGTGCAAAAGGTGAACACAGGAAGCAGATAGCGAAGGGGTAAAATGTACAGTTATCGAGAGAAGGCAGAAGCTTACAGTCGGCCGGCGAAGTCGGGGCGGTAAGTTTGGCCAAGCACGCCGTGGACGTTAGCTGACAGCTTGGCACTCAGCACTTCCACCGTGAAGTGAACCAGTCCGTCTTCAATCGTTCGCATCATTTCGATCTCCGGGCGAAGGGTCAGCCGTAACGAGAGGACGTCCGCGACGGTTACTTCGTATTCGTCAACCAGATCGCCACCGGAGGGCTTCGCACCAGCAACCCACTTCACTTCGCCTTGCCCATCGAACAGGTACATCTTTTCGCCAGGGAATTTGAGCTTCTTTGCCACGCCATCGACGGTCAACGAAGCGAGGTAACCCTTGCGATATTTCGGATCCGGGCCTTCGCGAGCCTCGAAGATGATGGAGTGGTGGCCCCAAAGGATCGCAATCTTTCGCATCCACGTCAGCGCCTTTCGCTCGCTGTCCATCCAACGAGCCCAGCGCCCTCCGAAAAAGGCGTTTACTTGAACGTGCGAATCCGTGATCAGCGCGAAGTTTTCGTTAGGAATGCCGCTGAAATCGAAGCGAGACTTGTCCGCGCCGACGAAATGAGGGTCGCCGGTAACATTGCTGTCGCAAATCTTGCCCACGTAGAAACGTGATTCCGGCTGGTAATCGCCGGTGGTGTCGGTAAAGCTATCCATCGTGTTATCGGGGTTGAAGTGTTCGAGTGTGCACACGCCTTCATCGAAGCACGCGCACACACCTGCAAAAAAAAAAAAAAAAAGAGAGAAAGGGACGAGGGAAGGGGGGCACATACATTAGGTGGCTTGCCTAAGATCCGAGGAACGAGAGAAACTATAAAGCCACTGTACAATCCCCATCTGGTCCTATCCGCGTAAAAACAACGGTAAATGCAACGAGATTTGTCATGCAACAGGCTTTGCAACCGCGCCACACGCACCTCCGATGTCGCACGTCTCCTCGTACTGCCAGTAAGTCACCGGGTCGCTAGGGTTATCCTTATTATAATCGCTGCACACCTTCCAGCAGTCGTAAAACGGGTCGGTCAATAACGGATCCCAAACCGGAGAATCCGTGTCATTGAAGACAAACGGCATGGAGTATTTAAACATGTACTCGATGTCCTCCGAGTCGCTATCGGTGAACATGCCCTTCTCGTACGACCCGGGTTTGCAGCCGAAGCTAGGGCAAGCCCCGAAGGCCGAGCCTTCCTGGCCGGGGTACGGCTTTTTGGAGATATCGACGGCAGTTGCGGCGACGATGCACGGGATGAGAAGTGCTACTATGAATGCGAGAGCGCGTCGCGGTTCCATGGCTACTGTGGTTTTCCTACTAAACGCTACGCGCTGAGAGGGACGACGTTTTAGTGTTACCTCTCAAATCTAGCAACCTAACACAGAAAATGTCATACGGACACAGCACAGGCCAGGTCTGGGAGTTGATATGGTGGGGGGACAGGGCAGCAGGGGACAAGAGGGGGCAGAGGGGAAGAGCCAACTTTTTAGATCAAAAACCTACCAGGCCAATGTGCTACTGTACACCCTCCCCGCCGAGAGGGGCAGAGCACAGCTTGACGGCTGGCCCACACTGTGCGGTTCGGTTCCTCAGGGGGCACCGCAGGTTGGTTTCGAAATTGGCGCCAGGCAGCTGGAAATGCGGATCAGGAAAACGATGGGTTTGGGAGGAACAGGTGGGACCAGGGTTTGAAAGCGGATGTTTGGGTCTATTGGGCAGTTGCCCATCACCATTTTTTGCCACTTTTAAAGACCGTCTGATGAGGGATTTGTGAAGTGTAGTCCGCAAGATTTCCATGGTTCTGAAGTCAATGGAGCCTGTACACCAAAAACCAGCAGAAAAGCCAAAGAAAACCCACCCAGGCAACTTTAGAAGATGATTCGATTACTTATCCGTAACTGTTCGGCAACAAAACACCAAGGTCAAATACTGGACGATGCGATGAGACCAAAAACAGTGTCTCCTACCACCGTGTCAGGTGGTTTTGCTAGCTCCCTCTGCTGTCGTTTTGTTCACCCTTTGGCAGTGCAATCCATGCCTTCCTGAGAAACTATGTGACCAGGGCAACGCAACATGTGTCGCTATTCATCAAAACAACGAGACTGACCATGGATGTAGGGCGGTTTTATTTGTCATTCGACACAAAGATGAAACGACAGGGTACAGTACCCTAGTAAGGATTTTCCTCTGCGGGATGCGGTGGAAAGGGATACGGCGGCCACAGATATTTTGCATTTGATTATACATAAGCGTGCGAGTACACTGTGACATATAGTTATCTTCATCCCGATTATCAAGTCAAGAATCAATATGAGCATATTCACTTCTCGTTATGCGTGCTGATTGCAAGCAAGGATGTTCTTTCATCTTACCTCATAACATCCACCTTCCTTCTCTGACATTCAGAGAATGACTTGAACGACCCTCGAGAATACCGATTCGCGTTCTTTTTGTTATGCTGCTGCGCTGTCGGATTACCTACCAGCAGCTATATTTTCAACTACTTCTGAGTGCGCTTCCTTCGAGAGTTTCCAATTTTCGAAGTCTCGTGGTTCTCAAATGAGTGAAGTTACTTCTCTCTTCGACTCAAGCATTTACAAACAGATCATTCGTCATGCCGCTGATCAGTACACACCGCTTTCGTGAAATATAGGTGGCGAGACATCGAAGCTGTTATCGTCAATCCCGAGGGTTGCGTTACACCAGCCGGCCTTCGTAGCTTCTCCTACCGAAAGTCTCTATCCGGCAGACAAGAGCAGCGTTGCTTCGTTACTCTTCAACAAGTATCCCGAGGTGTCATTCAATTCTGGCTGCATGTCTCGTTACCCTTGACCAGCACACAACATTAACTCTCCGGACAACGGTTTATCCCTCAACACCCGCCAATGACGCCGCAAATTATGGAGATGCATGGCTTCTTAGAGCCCCCGCATTGAGGATCACGCCTTGATGCCACGTGTCACCAACCCATTGGCGAATCATGGGAGCATGTCTGTCCACCAAATCCTCATCCAACGGTGGCAAACAGCGTACGTCATGATTGCTTCTCTTGGACAAGCGTCCAACGGTCTCTCGTGCTCTAATGGCGTGATTTACGTTCGTCAAGCGTACATTTCAATTTACGTACGTTTGTCCAAGGGAAGCAATCGTGAAGGTAACCATGCTGTCCTGAGCGCGTAACCAACACAGCCTAGGGTTTGCAGTACGTACCGTTTTGAGATTCTCCCTTCCCACTTATCATCCCCTGTTTTCCTTTCTTCCGTACCCCTTTCCATTGCCCCCCCAATCCAACCTCCCCCATCCGAAACCCCCCGTCCACTTGCAGGCACATCCGAAGCAGAAACCACACTCCCCCCTCTCACCGCTTCTCTCTTCTCCACTTCCGCAAATCCCGCTCTCCCTCCCCCTCTTCCCCCTTCTCTTCCTCCCCCTAAGCCGTCCCCCCATTCATCCGCGGAACACAACTCCCAGCACCCCCTTCCGCCCCAGTATCCCCGACCCGCCCAAAAACTCCCCCCTTCCGCCGAAAACACTCCCCCGTCCGCGCAAGACCGTCCCCTTTCCGCCAATCCCCCAAGAAGCAAGCCCCCCAGGGCTCCAGGGGGGACGCACCCGCGCAGTCTATCAGCTGGTGGGGAGGAAGAGGCGGGAGGTGGAGAGGGGGGACGAGGGGTTAGGGGGAGCACGCGCGGGGGGGCTGGGGGGGATGGGGCGGCGGAGCTGGGGGGAGGCGGAGGAGGGGGGATTGGGTCTAGAAGGAGGTCTCCCGCGAGAATACAGCTAGGATCTTCTCACAGGGCTTCACATAGTAGATCGTCGTCAAATAGGTCTTTAAATGGGTATGTTGAGAGGGCATCGCCTGCTAGGTCTTTAGGGTCTCCTGTTAGGTCTATAGATTCTCCTGGTAATCCATACTGCAAGCATCAGCAGCAGCACCACCACGACCATGACCAGCAACACCACCAGCAGAACCAGCAGCAGCAGCAGCAAGAGGGTCGTATATATGGGCAGGGCTTTAGAGAACAACAGCAGGGGGACGGGAACGGGCAGAGAAACGGGCAGGTTGCAAAAAAACGCCCGGCGGGTGTCCCGCGGTCAAACTCCTCCCCGGGAAAATTTCTCGACCTGCCCGACGAGGCCCTATCGGCGATTGTGCCTGACTCCCTGCTCCGGTTTTTGTACGATGACGTGGCAGCAGCGACCAACGGGTTTGCGCCAGCTCATCTTATTGGGGAAGGCGGGTTCGGGAAAGTCTACAGGGGAAGCATCTGGGCGGAATTGATTGAGAGAAGAGCGAATGTGGCAACAGGAGAGAGAGGAGAGAGAGGTGGAGAAGGAGGGGATATGGAGCAGGGAGGGATGGGACAAGGAGCAATGGTGGCGGTGGCGGTTAAGCAGCTGAGGGAGGAGTCGAAGCAGGGCGCGGAGGAGTTTCTGAGGGAGGTGCTGGTGCTGGGGCGGCTGTCCCACGCGCACCTCGTGCAGCTGTGGGGGTACTGTGTGGACGGCGGGGCGTTTCTGGTTTATGAGCTCATGGAGGGGGGAAGTCTGGACTACGCGCTCATTGACAGTGAGTGATGGGTCTCCTCTCCTTTCCTCTCCTCCCCTCTCCCGGGTGCAAAGGGCGAGCTGTATTTCAGCTGACCCGTGCGCCCCAAGGTGGCAGAAGCATTGGCTTACATCCACCATCACCTTCTCTTACCTCTCTCCACTCCTCCCGTTCTCCCATCTCCTCTCGCCCACTCCCTCTCCTCCAATTACCTCTCCTCTTCTGACCTCTCCCCGCCTCTCCTCCCGTCACCACCAGGTTGCAAGGGCGATGCGACTTAAGGTGGCAGTGGAGGTGGCAGTGGAGGTGGCAGTGGAGGTGGCAGGCAGAGACACTACTCTACATGCACCTTCACCCCTCTCACTATCTCTCTCTCCCTCTCACAACAGGCTCCAATGCAACTGCCCTCTCTCAGGTGCCAAGGGGGAGCTCCATTTCAGCTGTTCCATGCGTCTCAAGGTGGCAGTAGAGGTGGCAGAGGCATTGGTCTACATGCACTTTATGCTCGCCCTTCCCCCTGCTCTCCCCACTCCCCCCCACTCCCCCCCTCTCCCAGGTGCAAAGGGCGAACTCCACTTCAGCTGGCCCATGCGACTCAAGGTGGCAGTAGAGGTGGCAGAGGCGTTGGTCTACATGCACCGCTGCAACTTCATACACCGAGACATCAAGGCCGCCAACGTGCTTCTCAAGCCGGTGAGTGCTGTCGTGTCGACTCAAGCATGTGTTCCAGGGTAGCAGAGCAGTGGCAGTAGAGGTAGAGGTGGCTTTTGAGTCGACTCAAAAGTCAACTCGGTAGCAGAGCAGTGGCAGTAGAGGTAGAGGTGGCAGAGGCGCTGGTATACCAGCGTGCTGCTCAAGCCGGTGAGTGTAAGCAGAAGTGCTTTCAGTCTCAAACCCACGAAAGTGCTCCTTAAATGCCACTCTACTCTACCCTCTCAAATGCCCTTATACCCTCTCGCATGCCCTTATACTCTCTCAAATGCCCCTCCACACCTCTCCACTGCCTCTCCGGACAGTCAACTGCGGTCAATCGTGTCTAAGACTTTCCAGTCGCCTAATAAATCACCCCCCTCTACCCCCCTCATATGCCTCCCTCTTCACACGCCCCTCTACACCCCTCCACTGCCTCAGGACTACTCGGCAAAGCTCACGGATTTCGGCATGGTGCGGGTGGGTCCGGGCGGTCAACTGCGGTCAATCGTGTCAACGCGGATCATGGGCACCGAGGGCTACATTGACCCTAGCTACCTCGAGACTGGTGAGTTCGTGTGTAGTCAACAAGGGTCAACTGTGGTCAAATGCAGTCAACTGCGGTCAATTGCGGTCAACTGCGATTAATCGTGTCGACGCGGATCATGGGCACCGAGGGCTACATTGACCCCAGCTATTTAGAGACTGGTAGGTTCCTTTCTTGTGTCTTCCTATCGGTCAACTGCAGTCAACGGCGGTCAACTGCGGTCAATCGTGTCAACGCGGATCATGGGCACCGAGGGGTGCATCGACCCCAGCTATTTAGAGACTGGTACGTTCCTTTCTTGTGTCTGTCTGCTTGTTGGTCAACTACAGTCAAAGGTGGTCAACTGCGGTCAATCGTATCAACGAGAATCATGGGCACGGAGGCAGTGGGTGCTCAAGTGTGGTAACCAGCTGGTAACCACAGTGAACCCCCCCTTTCCCCCCCAACCCCCTTTGCCCAGGCCACCTGGGGGCCAAGAGTGACGTCTACTCCTTTGGGGTCATCCTCCTGAAGCTCCTCACCGGCCAGCAGGGTAATACACAGTAACCACACTAAAGCCCTTGCTCCTCCCACTCCTCTCCCCTCCACCAGGCCACCTGGGAGCCAAGAGCGACGTCTACTCTTTTGGGGTCATCCTCTTAGAACTCTTAACCGGGCAGCGCGTGCTTGAAAAGGGCAACCAGCTGGTAACCGCGTGCCGGCAGCAGTTCCAGGACCTAGCGCTGCACTCACGACACTACACAGACCCCAAGCTACACGGAGAGTACCCCGAGGTGGCAGCCAGGCAGCTGGCAACGCTGGCCAAGCACTGCGTGGCGGAGCAGAGACAGGACCGGCCCGATATGAGCACAGTGCTGCAGCAGCTGAAGGAGATCAGAGATATTTCTGCGAGAGCAAACGCTCGAGTGGGCAGGGGAGGCACTTTGTAGCGGGTCGGTAGTGGGGCAGCAGTTCCAGGACCTAGCGCTGCCCTCACGGCACTACGCCGACCCCAAGTTAAGTGGGGATTACCCCGAGGTGGCAGCCAGGCAGCTGGCAACGCTGGCCAAGCACTGCGTGGCGGAGCAACGGCAGGACCGACCGGACATGGCGACTGTGCTGCAGCAAATAATAGAGTTTAGGGACGTTTTCGAGAAAGCAAGCGCTCGAGTAGGTAGAGAGGTGGGGCTCCCTAAGCTGGGCAGGACCTAGCCCTCCCTCACAGCACTGTGCTGATCCCATACTTCATGGAGGGTAACTGGCCAAGCACTGCGTGGCGGAGCAATGGCAGGACAGACCAGACATGGCGACGGCTCTGGTGCAGCTGAAGGAGATTTGGGGGGCTGCTGTAGCAGCAGGTAAAAGAGGCACTTTCTCTGTGGCGGAGCGAGGGTGGGATCGGCCCGGTTTGCAGTAGCTGAAGGAGATTAGGGATGTTTTTGGCGGGAGCGCACGCTCAAGGAAGTAAAGGAGACAATTTCTAGGGAGACAAAAGAGCTTCCCTTGAAGCCCCCTTGAGATTCAGGGGAGCTGTTTTACGAAGCATTGGCAATAATGGGCAGTAGTTGCTGTACAGGTTAGGGAAGGGAGGCTTTTGCACAAATGAATGGCTTCAGCTGGAAAATAATATACCGAATGGTAAGGTACCAAGAAATAGTTACAGCGCATTGTGCAGAGAGTAAAGGGATTTGCTAAGATTGATTTTAGATTCACTTAAAAGCTTGAAGTTCCCACTTTAACTGCACAGGTTGCGCTCGACTACAATTGTTATTGATGATTCAAACACAAATAGAATGAAATATATTTTTGCTAAGGAAACACAAAATGCTCCACAGCCACCGAGCAACGCGATGCGAAGCCGTCCGTTTGAGCCAGGCCGTTTTAAGTGTTACAATGGAACAGGTTTATAAAATACAGGGAAATCGCCTTCGCCAGTTTACAGGGCGTCAATCATGCCCTTCCTGCCGAGAGCACTGTACGACGAGCTGACGGATGTTGCCATGGCGACGGCGCTAGCGGTTTCGTCGTCCATCGCTGTACCGCGTACGAAGCGGCAGTAGTTGCAGTCGGACCGCATGAGCTCCGACGTCTTGTAATCCTCCCACGTGCCATCAATGAAGCCCTCGGCGTTGTCACCTGGAACAACGTACGCCTTAAGAAGCTTGCTCCAGACAAGAGTCTGCTTCTCACTGCAAAAAGAAACAACGAAACAAAGAAAACGTTAGAATCACTTGTCCGAAACGAACGGAAAGAGGGAGTAATTATACAGGAATTAATCCATAAAAAGGTGAATGAACTTACAGTCGGCCGGCGAAATCGGGGCGGTAGGTTTGCCCAAGAACGCCATGCACGTTCGCGGAGAGCTGAGCGCTGACGACCTCGATTGTGAAGTGCACAAGACCGTCGTCCTTGGTCCGCATCAGCTTGATCTCAGGCCTCAGGATCAGTCGCAGGGTGATGATTTCGGCAACCGAAATTTCGTAAATGTCGACCAGATCGTCGCCAACCTTCTTCCTCGCGTCCACCCATTTGAGCTCAACCGAGCCGTCGAAGAGGTACATTTTTTCGCCAGGGAACGACAGGCTGGTCTTTTCGCCATCGACGTAGATCGCCTTGAGGTAACCCGCACCGTACTCAGCATCAGGTCCGGGCCGAGCCTCGAAAACGACGGAGTGGTGGCCCCAGAGAACAGCGATGTTACGCATCCACGTCATCACCTTGTTCTTCTGGCCCATCCATTCCTTCTCGATGCGCCCGCCGAAATACGCGTTAACGGCAATATGCGCGTCGGAGATCAGGGCGAAGTTCTCGCCGGGCTGACCGCTGAAGTCGAACCGCGACTTGTCGGCACCAACGAAATGGGGATCGCCGGTAACATTACCGTCGCAGACCTTTCCAACGTAGAACTCGGAAGGAGGCTGGTAATCGTTGGTGGAATCGAAGAAAAAGTTCATCGTGTTATCGGGGTTGAAGTGGTTCTGCGTGCAAACACCCTCGTCGTAGCACGAGCACACGCCTGAAGAAGAAAGAGCGCGAGAAAGAACAAAAAAAGAAACAAGAAAAGAGGCGAAAGACGGTCAAACGAAGCGCCAGAAATACAAGGAGCAATTAGACAAGAAACAAAATTCAAGAACGAACGAACAAGCTCCTCGGTGGTTCTTACCTCCAACGTCGCAGGTCTGCTCGTACTGCCAGTACTTGATCTGCGGGTGGTCGGCCTTGGCCATCTTGCAGATCTTCCAGCAATCGAAGAACGGCGTCTCAAGAGCAACATCCCATTCCGGCGACTCGGGATCATTCTTCATCAGCGGCTTCGAGAACAGCCACTCGTACGAAATATCCTCACTATCAGAGTCCGTGAAGGTTCCGTTAAAGTGCGACCCGGGTGTACAAGTGAACGCCGGGCAGTTACCGTACTTCGAACCCTCCTGACCGGGGTAAATCAGGGTGGAGTTGACCTTCAATCCCGTGCCGCCGGAGGTAGTCGTGCTTCCGCCAGAGCTGCTGCTACCGCCGCTGTTTGTGTTGCCGCCGCTGTTGGAACTGCCGCCACTGTTGGTGTTGCCGCCGCTGTTGGAACTGCCGCCACTGTTCGTGCCGCCGACGGTGTTCGTACCGCCAACGGTGTTCGTGCCGCCAACGGTGTTCGTGTTCCCGGCGCTGGTGGAACTGCCAAAGGTGTTCGTTCCGCCGACGGTGTTGGTGCCGCCGACGGTGGTCGTGCCGCCAACGGTGTTCGTGCCGCCAACGGTGTTCGTCCCGCCAACGGTATTCGTGCCGCCAACGGTGTTCGTGCGGCCAACGGTGTTCGTGCCGCCAACGGTGTTCGTGCCGCCAACGGTGTTCGTGCCGCCAACGGTTTTCGTGCCGCCAACGGTGTTCGTGCCGCCAACGGTGTTCGTGCCGCCAACGGTGTTCGTGCCGCCAACGGTGTTCGTGCTACCTGTACTCACCGTGGGAAGGGCAATGACATATGGAACTAGGAGTGCCAATAACACGCAGGCTACAACCGACCTACCCATCTCTAAAATCTACCTCGAATTCCAATGTGTCAGTGCGTACAAGGGGAATCGAGGCCACTATCTCAAGGGGATGTCTCAGCGTCTAAGGACGGCTAACCAAACAATCTTCGAATGATCCTGAAGGGGTTGGGGAAGAAAGCTGAGAAAGGAAGGTAGGGGACGAAGATGGGACAGGGACTAGGGTTGGTGTTATCGGGAGCAACAGCTGTGGTTTGGGGTCATGAAGGGGTTGTTTTGGTCTTGGCTTGTCGTTTTCGGGGGTCGTCGTATCAGTTGTACGCTTCAGGTGGTTTGTTCGTGTCATGGGGGTCGTTTGCATTCAGGTGGATGGGCAGCAACGCCGTGAACAGCTCCAGCATCAACCGTCCCAATGTGCAAACCACCTGGACGAAAAGTTACACTACCTGGAAAACGAGTTGCGAAACTCGCTGAAGCGACATCAAGGCTCGGAAGCAGTAAACGTTCCACGGCGCAGATGAAATTACATGTGTGCTCACCAAACAAAAAATGCACGTCTCTTTCATCCAATCCTCATCAATCCAATTTCCACCACGGGCAGCTTCGGGCAACCAATAGCACAATCACGATGAAAAGAACAATTTGTCAGATGTTATGCCTGCAGTCACACTCGCCTTGCCACAGCACGACAGACCTGTATTGTCACTGTTGTTGAGCCACGGATAGTTTCGGCTGGCTCACTTGCCCAAACCAAACCATACACAAACCTCATCACCGACTTGATCAACTACTACCACGTGTCAACCCGCGCCAAGAAACGTTGTATTGGCGGTTTACGATTAGAGTTTTAGTAGCCTAACTCTGGTCTCATATGGATGACATAAACACCAAATAGCAAGCCTGAAGAGCGGGCAATCATACCATGCTGGAATATTATTATCCACATTCCTTGCATCAAAATGATCAAATGTTTTACAATTACAACATGTGAAATTTTACCTTCTTCTGTTTTAGGTTTGCATTGCTTTCTGTTGTTGAAAGGAATGTTATTGATAGCTGTCTATGCAATAATAACAAATGGACGCAACAGAACAAATACATTTACAGTCGAAAGTTTTATTCTTGAAGCATTATGTACACAGGCATGTCATGTGTTCAAGTTCCAAAGTTCATTCCCCCCTTTTAAAAATTCAAGAATCTGCTTATAAATATCTACCTCACATTTATCAGGAATCACTACCGCCGCGTTTATGTCGAGTTACAGAGCCATCACTATCCCAAATGACGATGATGTGGCACGCCAGTTGCAGATGCCGGAAGTGTCGAGCAATCGTGTCGCTTGCACACGCTGTAACGCTTCTCTCTCCACGTCATTTGGCATTCATGTATTGGCTTAGATCCATAACTTTCTTCGGGATTGGTTATACGATCTGTGTGGGGATTCTTAGATAGCACCCAGATTGCGTACACTGCTGACATGGAGTCGCATCTAACAAGCGCCGTATTCGTGGCAGGGCCATCCGAAGTGCGCTTACGGAAACCAGACACGTGGAAGTACGAACAAAATTTGTCCAAATCGTTGCCACGTGGAAGTCCGTCTCAGCCCACTTTCCACCCTGCTCCCTCTCTCCCTCACCTGGTCTACATAATCGAAATTGGGAGTACGGTGTACGAGCAATCCGTGCACTCTCTCATTCTTCACTTCAGCAAATCTCTGTCCTTCAGTTTTCCACATCACTCACAGAGATGGCTGCCGTCGCCTCCCTCCCGACTTTCTCCGGCCTCAAGGCCGTGTCCGTCCAGAAGGTCGCCGTGAAGGCCGCTCCCGCTGCCGTGAAGCTTGCTCCCGTGAGCGCGTCCCTCAAGGATGCCTCCAAGGCCCTCGTTGCCGTCGGCGCCTCCGTGCTCCTGGCCGGCAGCGCCAACGCCGCGACCATCCTGATGGGTGCCAACGATGGCGGCCTCGCCTTCGTCCCCAAGGTGTCTGAAGTGAAGTCCGGCGAGGCGATTACCTTCAAGAACAACGCTGGCTTCCCCCACAACGTTGTCTTCGACGAGGATGAGGTTCCCGCTGGTGTCGATGCCGACGCCATCTCGCACCCCGATCTGCTCAACGCTCCCGGGGAGACTTTCACCGTGAAGCTCACCGCTGCTGGCACCTACGAGTACTACTGCGAGCCCCACCAGGGTGCTGGCATGGTTGGCAAGATCGTCGTGTCGTAAATGATTTGTACCTATTGTCCATTAAATGAGATTGTTACGAATCTTTTATACTGATTGAGAAGCCACCTGTTTTGCTCGGATATGGTGTCCTTCCTGCGGAAGAATTGCATTGTAGTTCAATGTGCTCTGACATTGTGAAGTTGGCAGTACGAGTGCGATTGCGATAATTTGTGAGAACCACACCACGCGGCCAGCTCTTGTCAGAAGGTACGTATCTCTGCCGTAACTGTCGTTGAAGCCTTTGGTTAGTATTTCCTACCGAAGCAAGTAGTGGAGCGGCAGAATGTCTAGTTTGTAAGAAATTGCCCATTTCACGACAGTCGAAATCCTCACTGAGAGAGGGAAATCCCCATTCCTTCATTCCAACGACTCTGTTGATGGTACTTAGGACCTGTGTGCTGTTGTCGATTGAATGGAGCTGGTTACGTTTCAGCTGAGGTGAAGGTGATATTACTCGCATCTCATTTGCCATGATGCTTTGCCCTCGTATGTGCTTTTGGTTCCATGATCCCCCTGGTATGATAATTGGAAACCAAATATTGGCGCACGAGCCAGATTGTACATGCATGAGGAGAACAAACGGATTTGCCTCCATCCGGAAAGTCACAGTATGCTGCTTATTCTGACATCCAGGCACAGAGATTGCATATCTAATGCTGTCAGTCAGGCACCCTTGTTTATTTGATGATAACACTCATTGCATTGTTTGGAGTGAGCATTGGATGCGCGAAAAGCTCCCCTGTAATGGGAGATCTGTTGCTGGTCTCCATCCATTTCTCGATTCCTGCCCTCTCATATGTGTACCCATCTGCTGCCACCACCGGTTCCCTCATGCGCATCTGCAAAACACACACATGCCGCATACCAGTAAGTACCAAGCTTAAAAAAAACAGATACCTCACACTCACCAAGACCGAGCAAACTGGCATGGACCACACACCGACCGAAGCCCACACGGCCGCACATACATGCAAACGAGAAATTACTTGCTCACCTTAGACAGAGGGCAGAGCAGGTGACTGTTGGCCTCATCCTGCTGCCTCTCCGCACACCCAGCACTCTCCTCCGCCAGTTGCATCAGCACCTCATGCACCTCCCTTTCAAGATCCGGCCGGCTTGCTCTCCTCCTATTGGTGCAGCAGATTGCGATCGCTGCCACCTCAGCTGCCGCACCACGGTCCCACTTGCCCCCAGAATCATCCAACCTCTCTATAATTACATTCACCGCCCGTTGCAGGCTTGCAATCAGATGACGTGTCCATCTGCTACTGGTGCTGGTGCCGCTGCTGTTGCTGCTGATGCTGCTGCTGGTCACTGTGCTCGTGCTGCTGCAGCCAGTGTCATTGCTGCTGGTTCTGGTTTCATTGCTGTTCCACTGCCCCTTCTCCAACACATCATGCGCCATCCGCATCACCTTCACAGTTTGCTTCACGTCCGGAATCCCCATCAGCATCTGCAGCATCACCACCCCCAGTGCATAAACATCCCCCAGAACCGACACCTCACACGTTACCAGCTCCTCGGGGTCTATATACCCCACCGTTCCCCTCACTCTCGCCGTCATATTCCCCCCTCCTCCGCCTCCTCCGTACCCGCCAGACCCATCTCCACCGCAGTATTCATCCCCGTTACCGCAGTCGATCAGGCGAGCCAGGCCAACATCTGCCAGCTTAGCGCGCAGGCTTGTATCGAGGAGGATGTTCTGGGGCTTTAAGTCGCGGTGGGCGATCGGGGGCGAGTGCTGGTGCAGGTAGAGCAGTGCGCCGGAGATTTCAGATAAGATTCTGATCCGATCTGGCCAGGAGAGCGGGCGGCAGAGTGAAGACAAAGTGCCGGTCGCAGCGGCACCACTAGCACCACCAGCACCGGCAGCACCGCCAGCAGCAGCAGCAGCAGCAGCAGCAGCACCGCCAGCAGCAGCAGCACCAGCAGCACCACCAGCAGCAGCAGCAGCAGCAGCAGAGCAGAGGTGTTGTGAGAGGTCCCCTCCGGGTAGGAACTCGTAGACAAGGCAGGAGAGGGCGGGGCAGTGGCCCATGAGCAGCACGATGTGTGGGTGGCGCATGCGCGACAGCACATGCACCTCTGTGCCGTACTCCTCCTCGCCCTGCCACCCGTTGCCTTGCAGCTTCTTGATTGCCACGTCACAGCCTAACAAACTCCCCTTGAACACCTGTAGAGAGAGGCAGGGAGGGAGGGCGGGAGGGAGTGAAGAGGAGAGGAGAAAGCAGAGGGGTTGGGGTCGCCTCGAGGCAGGAACTTGTGGGCGATATAGAGGAGAGGGCGGGGCAGTGGCCCATGAGCAGCACGATGTGTGGGTGGCGCATGCGCGACAGCACATGCACCTCTGCGCCGTACTCCTCCTCGCCCTGCCACCCGTTGCCTTGGAGCTTCTTTATTGCCACCTCGCAGCCCAGCAGGTTGCCCTTGAACACCTGCAGCGAGGAGGGAGGAGAGAGCAGAGTGGGGTTGAGGGTGGCGCATGCGCGAGAGAGGAGAGAGCAGAGTGGGATTGCAAGCGGAGTGTTGAAGAACGTTCAGAGAAGGTTATGAGAAGGTTCACTGAAAGTTTGTACCTGGCCGAAGGCGCCAGCGCCGAGCAGGTTGGAGGAGTGGAAACCATTGGTTGCTGCGACCAGCTGCTCCGAAGAGAACACCCTGCAGCCGCCACTGGATGCCACGTGTCCGGGTGCCACGTTGGATGGTGCCACATTGGATGGTGCCACGTGGGATGGTGCCACTCCACCGCATGATGCGGGTGTGCTCCCGGGTGGTGACGGCACGAAGGCTGCTGCTGCGCCGGATGCTGAGTCAGCATAGCCATGAGACACGTGGCTGACAGGAGGAGAGTTGTGGTTGGTGTTGCGTGTATGGTATGGCGATTCGCGTTCGTTGTGGTGAGACGACCCAAAACGCTGAGTCATTCCCGTCATTCCGTGGGAAGCAGTTTGACCGTAGCTGCTGCTTGCAACGCTGTTATCAACGCTGCTCGTGTTGCTGCCCATGCTGTAACGCTCCCCCTGGTCCCACCCCGCGCTGCCGCACTCCCAGTTACTCCTCCACGCCCCATCGCACTCCCTGTCACCCCTCCCCACGTCTCCCAACCGCACACCACCGCACTCGCCGCCACTCCCCCCTTGCTCCCTGCCCCACATGCCATGCCCCACCGGAGGCGTGTTAATCCTCCTCACCCCTTCCCGCCCCCACGCCACACCCCCATCGCCACTATCTCGGCTCATGGACCGAGCCACACCGCTGGAAAACCCACCAGCACCGCTCTCCCTGCGCCAGGTCGCGCCGCCATGATCCCCGCTGCCTGAAATTGCGGAGTGCTCCGCTCTACTGCCGAATGAGGGAACGCCAGGTGGCAGTCTGGTCTCCAGTAGTTTCGCCTCTGGCGAAGAGGATTTGGGCGGACTGATTTGATGGTGCGGCGACTGGTGCGGCGGCTGGTGCGGCGGCTCCGCGTGTCCCGGCGCGTACTTGGGGAACAGCAGCTCCTCCTGCGCTTTCCTCAGCGCGCGCTGCGCCGCACTCGCCGCCGCGTCTTGCTGCTGCTGCCGCTCCTTCTGCTGCTGCTCCCACGTGGGTAATTGCATCATCGCACCCAACCGTTTCTTCATCGCATTTATGTCCGCTTCTGCTGCTGCCGCTGTACCCGCTGTTGCCGTTGTTGCCGTTGTTGCTGCTGCTGATACTCCTGTTACCAACGGGAACGGAGAGCTTGAGGGGGACGGCGGGAGCGGAAGCCGCGGGGGAAACGCGCGGGCGTGGGGGGAGGCGGAAAGCGGGTCGTGGTAGCGTGGGGGAAAGCCGCTATCGGGGGTTCGATCCCCGAGTGACGAGTCCGAACCGCAATATGACGTGGCAGTTGATCCTGACGTCAGCCGCCTTGCCAGTGGCGAAGGTTCCCCAGGTGCCCCTGCCGCAGCCGCAGCTGTCGAAACGGCAGTGGCGGCGCTTGTTGCGGCGGAAACGGCTCGTTCTTTCCGCGTGCTGCTGCGCGAGAAGAGGTTGTAGTGCCCACTGCTTGCGCGGGAGTGCGCGTCGTCCCCCCCGCTTGCGCGGGAATGCCCGTCATCCCCGCCGCTTGCGCGAGAGCGCGCGTCATCCCCGCCGCTTGCGCGCGAGTGCCGGTCGTCCCCGCTGCTGCGCGGGAAGAGGTTGAAGTGCCCTCCGCTTACGCTTCCGCGGGAGTGGCCGTCATCCCCGCCGCTCCCGCGGGAGTGCGCGTCGCTGCTGCGCGGGAAGAGGTTAAAGTGCCCTCCGCTTAGGCTTCCGCGGGAGTGCCCGTCATCCCCGCCGCTTCCGCGGGAGTGCGCGTCATCCCCACCGCTTCCGCAAGAACGCCCGTCATCCCTGCTGCTGCTGCGCGAGAAAAGATTGTAGTGCCCGCCGCTTGCGCGGGAATGCTTGCCGCTGCCGCACGAGTGTCCGTCGTTCCCCGGGGAGGTAATATCGTGATATCGAGCAGGAGTGTCCGTAATATCGTGCGCCTTCGAAGCTCCTTCGTGGGGTTTGCTTCCCTGCACAGTCGGAGGAGGAGTATGCGACACAGTAAGAGAATGATGCGTCAGTCAAAGGACGACTGAAAAGACGTCACCGGACGAAACTCGAGGCGACTCGAGCGCGGCCGAGGATTCAAAAAGCGCATTCCCGTTTTTTCCACGCGTCCCGTCGCGGAAAAGGCAAACAACAAAGATAAGCAGAAAAAAAACGAAGAACTTACCCGCATGTGTCGAAGAGAGAAATTGCCATACTTCGATCGAACGTCCTCCGTCAGCTTAGCCGTTTGCGCCAACGCCGGCGGCGTCGGCGGCGCCGGCGGAGCCGCGGCTGCAGTCCGTCGAGCCGCCTCCGAAGTCTCCAAAGTCGGCGCGACGGCGGAGGTGCCGGCGCATTCCTCCGTCCAATCCAGAAACTCCTTTTCCCAGCTGGACTCGCCTGGACCGTCCGATTCGTTGGACGCGAGGCTTTGGCCTCTCTCAACCGCCGATGGCAGCGGCGCCACGCGCGCCCCGCCCTCCGCGTGCCACCGATGATCCGTGGTTTTCTCTTCGAAGCTTCTGCGTCGAGTGGAAGTCTCGCGGCTGACGATGGGCAGGAAGCAGCTGACGTCATCGTGCGATGCGGGCCTGCCAGAAACGGCGGGTTTTTCCGGTACAAGCGGTTCGGTCGTTACTGCTCGAAGCGCTGTTTCGCCGCTTTCCGTCTCGAGGATGATTTCGCCGCCGCCAAGGCGCGCAACGGCGGCGCATGCATCGGCGGCGCCGCGCGCCGCGCGCCTGCCGCTGCGTTGCCGAGGAAATTCGCGGGGACCTCCCGCCGCGGTACCACGGGGGCTTTCGGCGGAAGATTGCCGGTGCGGGGGATGAGGAGGAAGAGGGTAGTGTCGGGGGGACACAATGGGCGGTTCGCCGAAGCTGCCGCCAGCGGTTGGGTGCTGAGATGCGTCGAAGTCGCCAGCGGCGTCGTCTGGACGAAGGTGCAAACCGACAGGGAATCCGCGACTTCTTACGGACGGGTTACCAGTTTCGCCAGCGCGCATCGCCACGTCTTGGGCGCATGGCGAGTGGGGCGGGGTCCAGCGAATGGGGACTTGAAGAAGTAGATCATTGGACGTGCCGTGAGGAATCGAGCAACATTGCGAATAGTGATCCATGGCGTCTGATAGAAGTTCAGTAGTAACGAGAATGTCCGCTAGCTATAATCCGCTAAAAGTTCCGTCTGCAAAGTTTACGCTTCCCAATGATTTTGATCCTCTGTCGGGAGGGACGTTTCGTGGAGAAGTTTCTTGGGCCGTAACGTAGTTGTATTTTGAACGGTAGTCGTCGTGAGAGAGCATGAGAACGAATTCCGTTTACCAAACAAGCCGACTTGCAGAGAATACACCAGAATGCCAAAATTCGCAGTAAGAATGGATCTGAAAGGACAACAGAGAGGGACCAGCACTGCTTGGCAAGCGGGCCATTCCTTGCGCGGAGGAATATGCTATAGCATTGGTGTTCGGGATTTCTGTCTGAAATTGCACTCTGGGCCCTGGGGCAGAATGGAACCACCCACCCTCTGCGCTCCAGCTCGCTCGCGTGCCCTGCTCTCTCACACGCTCGACCAATGCCATGACAAGCTCCCAAATGGGGCACATTTTCCGAGCCGCATGTCGATCTAGTTGGGCGCAAATCGAGACCGCAAATTCACCTGGAGGGCAGCATCACGAGCCGCGTGCGGTCCTCAGTAGTGTTGTTGGATGGACAATGAGCCCCACTGTACGCAAATATCCTGCAGTGGATCAAGACTTGACTTGTTTGCAACTTGCACTGTTCTGATCGGATTATGCCAAGAATGCATGCATCGCTCCGTGATTGGGATATTTCAAATTCTCCCCGAGCCAACAAGGCAAAGGTTCAAGAGCTGCAGCAATGCTTTGAAACACCACGTTCCAATCGGTGGAAACACATTTTCTACGTGTACACGTGTATTCGAAATGTTCTGACACCTGCCCGGTAAGCCTCGTTTGCGGGCAGGCAGGCACCCCCCACCTTGCAGCGCATCCAGCCCAATTCGCAAGTGGGCCATGACATTCCCCGCGAAGTCCCCTTCAACATAAAAATCGAGAGTGGCTGGAGGGCTGTTATGTCTCTATTTATAACAAACATTCCATGTAGATAACAAACATGTGGCTATGACGAAAGGAAACACGTGGGCTTTTGTAACGCCAAGTATGTAATAAGGGCTGCAAGCACATGCTTTTAGGCTCTGTGTACACCACCCCATACAACACACATCTCATAAACCTTCAGTTAAGGCTGTGGATGTATCTACATTTGATAGTGTATTTGCATCTAAAAAAACACATCTCATCAAACTTATTTATTGGACATACTTCAGCTTCATAATCCTCCGCTCCCACTGCCTGCCCCAAGCAGCTCCGCCTTTTTCAACTCCATGGTCAAGCTTCCCAGGCTGTTCGAATCGTCAATCTCCCTATCGATACTCGACACCACCTTGTCGGTGTCCGGTCCGAAAAACGCCTCCTTCATGTCCATGAGCTCAGCAAGAACGCGCGCCGTGGACGGCCGCGACGCGACGGGCACCTTGGTGCAGTCGATGGCGAGGCGCGCAAGCCACAGCACGAGATCGTCGGGCGCTTCGAGCCTAGGATCTCTGAAAGCTGGGGCGTTGCAGGCGTCGGCGAGCGGAGCTACCTGATGGAAGGACAACAGGGAGTGCAAGGGGCGAGGGGGAGGGGTGTGATGGGTGGTGGAGGAAGAAAGAAGGGAGGGAGTTAGTGAATGGGGGAGAGTGAAGTTGGGATGCATCCAGGCACGGGTCCGGACGGCCGAGGCTTTGCAGGCGTGTACAAACGCCTGCTGGAGTGGGGGAGGAGGCAGGGGAGGAGATAGGGAGGGAGTTTTGATTCAAGCGCGGGTCCAAGAAAGCCGCCGCGTTGTGACAAACCATGGGAGAATGCAAGAAGCGACATAAGGAGGGAGGGTGTTAGTGGCAGGGAGAGGAAACATAGCAGGGCGAATGTAAGAAAGAAGGGAAGGGGGAGAGGGGGACTTACCTAGTCCTCGATGTTGACCTGCTTGTCCCCCTCTTCATAGATTCGAAGAGAGGAACAAGGCAGCGTGCTAGAAGGTAAAATGAGAACAAACCGAGGATTAGGAGGGTAAAGAGAGAACTTACCCACTCCTTGATGTTGACCTGCTTGTCCCCCACTTCGTAAATGGCCCGACGAGCCGTGATCACTGTCAGCAGCACCACTCCGAAGCTGTACAAGCGAAGTGAACAGGGAGAATTGCAGGAGAGAGGAGGCACAACGAGAGAAGCAACCGTTGGAACGGTAACCAATGATTGGAAAGTGTGTGCATAATTTTAGGCCAATGCCGGCTAGCACTGCTCCGTATCGCTCTTTACTACTCTGTACCTGTGCACGTCGGCAGCAGGAGTGGCCTTCTGTGACTTGTAGTAAGCGGGGTCCACATAGCCTGGTGTGCCCATCACTCGTGTCGACGCCATTGTAGCTGACGTCCCTTCTCCCAGCCGCACCAGCCCGAAATCAGCCACCTTCGCCTGCAGAATCGAGGGGAGAGGGGTCGGGGTTGACGTGTGAGTGCGGCCGCGCAATAGGGAGTTTCTAAGAGGTCAGGACATAACCCGGTGTGCCCATCACTTTAGACTATGCCATTGTAGCTGACGTTGCTTCTCCCATCTCACATTCATCTATGAGACAAGCAGGATGTTAGCAGGCTTGATTTTGCGGTGCAAGAAGCCAAAGCTGTGTAGGTATTGCAGGCCCTCACACCCCCCAATACCGCCTCACACCCACCTGAGCCTCCGCACACTCCCATGCCATGCACCTCCCTGCACGCCCCATCCACCTCAATGTAACGGCTCACATTCATCTTGGAGTCAAGGAGAATGTTGGCGGGTTTGATGTCGCGATGCACGATGCCAAAGCTGTGCAGGTAGGTAATGCAGGCCCAACCATCAACCTCTACCGCCTCGCACCCACCTGAATCTCTGCACCCTCCCCTCCCACGCACTATCGGCCATCTTACATTCATTTTTGAATCGAGAAGGATGTTAGCGGGCTTGATGTCGCGATGCACAATGCCAAAGCTGTGCAGGTACTGCAGCCCCTCCGCCACGCCTATCATCACCTGGACCCGCTCCTTTGCTGTTAGTGCCCGAGGTGTGTCTGTGGGGAAAGAGGAGGGGGAGGGAGGGGAGAGATCAGCGAGGGGTGGTGTCAGCAGGTACTGCAGACCCTCCGCCACGCCTATCATCACCTGCACGCGCTCCTTTGCAGTGAGTGCCCGAGGTGTGTCTGAGGGGGGGTATGACAGGGGGACAAGTGCAATTAGAAGAAGCTGTGCAGGTACTACAGCCCCTCCGCCACGCCTATCATCACCTGCACTCGCTCCTTTGCCGAGAGTGGGCGAGGTGTGTCTGTGAGGGGGGTACGAAGGGGAGGGAAAGAAGATGGGAAGGAATAAAACAGGGGGACAAGTGCATTGCGGGGAAGCTGTGAAGGTACCGCAGTCCTTCCGCCACGCCTATCATCACCTGCACTCGCTCCTTTGCCGAGAACGGGCGAGAGGAGTGTCTGAAAAGGGGGGGATGTGGTGGTTGTGCACAGAGATGTATGTATCAGGCGGTAGTGGGGAAGAGACTTTTGAGTCGACTCAAAAGTCTCGAGGTGTGTCTGAGATGGGGGGATGTGGTGGGTGTTCACAGAGATTCATGTATCAGGCGGTAGGGGGGACACACTCAAGGTACTGCAGCCCCTTCCACCACGCCTATCATCACCCGCACCCTCTCCTATGCCGAGAGTGGGCGAGGTGTGTCTGAAGGAATAGATTAGAGGAGGGGAAGGGCGTATAGGGGCAGGGTAAGGAAGAGTGGGTGTGCACAGGTGTTTGACATGCCTTCATGAGGCATGCCACCCTTAGGTCGACAGTTTCTCACACAACCCCACCCCACCCCACCCCACCCCACCCAGCTCACTCTCACCCAGGCTCAGCCATCTTTCCAGGTCGCCGTTATCCACAAACTCGTACACCAGAATCTGCTCCATGGTCTGAGTGCTGGGGTTGCGGTCAATGCTCACCTCTCTCAACCACCTTTCACTGCAACCCATCCCACCGCATTCCGTTGACTCTCACCTTGGCTGAGCCATTTCTCGAGGTCGCCATTATCCACAAACTCGTACATCAAGATCTGCTCCATTGTCTGAGTGGTGGGGTTGAACACAGAGGTCACTTGGCTGACTCATCCACTTCTCACCCTACCCCATCCCACTCCACCCCACCCCACCTCACCCCATTCCACCCAGCTCTCTCTCACCTTGGCTGAGCCATTTCTCGAGGTCGCCATTATCCACAAACTCGTACACCAGATCTGCTGCATGGTCTGAGTGCTGGGGTTGAAATCGATGGTCCCCTGTCTCAACCACTTCTCACTCCATCCCACCCCACTGCACCCCACTGCACCCCACTGCACCGCACCCCACTGCACCCCACCGCATTCACTTGACTCTCACCTTGGTTGAGCCATTTCTCGAGGTCGCCGTTATCCACAAACTCGTACACCAGAATCTGCTCCATGGTCTGAGTGGTGGGATTGAAATCAATGGTCACCTGGCTAAACCACTTCTCACCGCACCGCACCCCACCCCACCCCACCCCACCACATTCACTTGACTCTCACCTTGGCTGAGCCATTTCTCGAGGTCGCCGTAATCCACAAACTCGTACACCAGAATCTGCTCCATGGTCTGAGTGGTGGGATTGAAATCAATGGTCACCTGGCTAAACCACTTCTCACCGCACCGCACCCCACCCCACCCCACCCCACCACATTCACTTGACTCTCACCTTGGCTGAGCCATTTCTCGAGGTCGCCGTAATCCACAAACTCGTACACCAGAATCTGCTCCATGGTCTGAGTGGTGGGATTGAAATCAATGGTCACCTGGCTAAACCACTTCTCACCGCACCGCACCCCACCCCACCCCACCCCACCACATTCACTTGACTCTCACCTTGGCTGAGCCATTTCTCGAGGTCGCCATTATCCACAAACTCGTACACCAGAATCTGCTCCATGGTCTGAGTGGTGGGATTGAAATCGATGCAGTATCCCAGCAGTCGCACCAGCGCCGGGTGGTGCTTTGATGCCATCTCCTTCACCTGGTACCAAATACGGGGGTTGGGGGATGGGAACATAGGACACAAAAAGAAGTGGGGATGGGAGGAGTGCTGGGGTTGAAGTCAATGCAGTATCCCAGCAGGCGCACCAACGCTGGATGGTGCTTCGATGCCATCTCCTTCCCCTGGTGGGAGCGAGGGGGGGATTCGAGGGGGAAGGAGGAGGCAAGGAGAAGTGGAGCAGAGTGAGTTGAAATCAATGCAGTATCCCAGCAGGCACACCAACGCCGGGTGGTGCTTCGATGCCATCTCTTTTACCCAAGCCAACTCACCCCCCGCTGGAAGTCTTGGGTGATTATCCTCGACCGTTTAACTGCCCGGTCTCCTCGGGGTTATACGGGTTGAACCCCCGATACACGTCCCCAAAGCTGATCCTTTTTTAGTCGACTCAAAAGCCACCTTATTTCCAGAGCTGCCTCTGCCAATTCTCAGAATCATGTGGGCTGAACCCTCATACCCCATACAAGCCGACTCACCTCCCGCTGAAAATCTTGAGTAATAATTCTCGAACGCTTAACCGCCCATGTCTCCTCGGGGTTATACGGGTTGAACCCCCGATACACGTCCCCAAAGCTGCCGCTGCCGATTCGCCTGTTCTCCGCCCAGCTGCATGTAGCCTGCTCCATCTCTGCTAGGGAATACTCTCGGAACACCTGCAATGGGGGTGAGGGGAAGGGAAGGACAAGGAAGGCTTAGCCTATCCGCCTGTTCTCCGCCCAGCTGCATGTAGCCTGCTCCATCTCTGCAAGGGAATACTCCCGGAATACCTGCAAGCAAGGGGAGGGGAGAGGCGGTGGGGGCGGAGGAGAAAGGGTGAAAAAGGCTGTTCTCGGCCCAGCCACATGTAGCCTGCTCCATCTCTGCAAGTGAATACTCCCGGAATACCTGCAAGCAAGGGGAGGGGAGAGGCGGTGGGGGCGGAGGAGAAAGGGTGAAAAAGGCTGTTCTCGGCCCAGCTACATGTAGCCTGCTCCATTTCTGCTAGGGAATACTCCCGGAATACCTGCAAGCAAGGGGAGGGGAGAGGCGGTGGGGGCGGAGGAGAATGGGTGAAAAAGGCTGTTCTCGGCCCAGCCACATGTAGCCTGCTCCATCTCTGCAAGTGAATACTCCCGGAATACCTGCAAGCAAGGGGAGGGGAGAGGCGGTCGGGGCGGAGGAGAAAGGGTGAAAAAGGCTGTTCTCGGCCCAGCTACATGTAGCCTGCTCCATCTCTGCAAGTGAATATTCCCGGAATACCTGTGAAATGTAAGTTTCGATGGAGTGGGGTGGAGAAGGGATGAGATGGCGTAGCTGCAAGCGGTCTGCCCGCTCTTAGCGAGAGAATGTTTCCGAAAGACCTGCAGCACCTGCAGCTCCTGAAAACTCACCTGAAGCACCTGGAGCACCTGAAAACGCACCTGAAGCACCTGAAAACGCACCTGAAGCAGCGCCTGTTTGGCAACAGACCCGGACGAGCTGCCCTGACTGGGATGCGCCGCTACCCTCCCCCCCATGTGCCCCGACCCCATCCCCCCTCCTCCCCCCATTCCCCCCACTGCCCCCGCGCCCCCCATTGCGCCTGCAGACCAAGGGGGGGCGTTCGGTCCTGATGGCATCTGTCCCCCTCCGCCCATCATCTGCCCCCCTCCGCCCATCTGTCCGCCCCCCATCCCCCCCATTGCGCCCATGCCTGCCATAGGAGCCCCCCCAATGCCCTGGGGGGGTGGGGGGGCTCCTGGGTAGGGAATCATTGGGGGAGGTGCGCCTGGGGGGAACAGAGGAAGGGGAAGGGGAGGGGGGAAGAGGAAAATAGACGTTTGGGAGTATAAGCAACATGGCTCTTTCCCATGGCGGCGAGTGTTGAGGCATTCTTGGCACACAGTCGCACATCGCCTTGTGTGAGGAGGCGGCACGGCACAACCTAATCCCAGCAGCAATGCGCAGTAGGAGAGGAGGAACGCGATTGTTCCACGCCTCTCAACTGCTCCACACAACTCCCAACCGTTTCCAGCCCGCGTACGGTCTTGCGAGGCTTGCACACTGCAAGCCCAATAGCAACAACTACTAGTGGAAGAGAGGGAAATAACAATACCATCAACCCACACCCCGCGCACCTTTGTATACGATCGGCAGGGGTGGTGGTGCTGCGCGCACGTGTCGCACGACCGTCTTGCGAGGCTTGCACACTGCGAGCCCGATCGCAATGGCTACCAGCAGCAGCACAATGGCGCCCCCTGCTGCAATCCCGATGATTGCGGGCATGGGGAGGCTGAAACTCGAGGAGTCGCTGCTGCCGCCGCTGCTACCGGAATCTGCCGCAGCGTTAGCAGTAGCAGAGTTAGTGTTGGTGTTGGTGTTGGTGATGTTGGTGGTGGTGGTGGTGCAGTTGCTGCCAGAACACGTTTGCACGCCTGATTTGGGGTGGTGGGAGACAAACAAAAGGGAATTAGGATTTTTTTTTTTTTTTTTTTTTTTTTTTTTTTTTTTTTTTTGCTGTGGAGTTGGTGTTGGTGGTTGTGGTGGTGGTGCAGTTGCTGCCAGAGCACGTTTGCACGCCTGTTGCGGTGGTGGGAGACAAACGAAAGAGGAAAAAGGGATTCTTCATTTGCTGTGGTATTGGCATTAGAGGTGGTGGTGTTGGCGTTGTTGTTGGTAATGGTAGCGCAGTTGCTCCCACTGTAAGTTTGCACGCCTGATCCGTAAGGGAGGGAGGGAGTTAAGGGAAAAACAAACAGATTGTGGCAAGTGCCAGAAATAAGAAAAATATATATTCAGTTGTGTCGAGCGTGGGAGAGGCATTGGGCGAATAGGTGAAATGATTGTACCATTCAAGTTGAAAGAGCGTTCCGCACAGTGCGATAAACGCACGAGACCAACGTACGCGAACAGGGAACGAGGAAAAACATTTAAACGTAAGAAAGTAACTAGACGCTTCTTGCTTATCGTTGAGAATAACATCTCAATAGAAGAAAACAGAAAACAGAATCAGAAAACAGAAAACGAGGAAAGAATCAGAAATATAAATTCCATTGCGAATGAAAACAGGACTAACTTTGAGAGGTAATCGTTTTCGGGTAAAGTAGTAGTAGTATCCACGCCAGCAATCCGAAAAGAAACATCTCGCCCGTTCTTCGTCGAGCCATTTGCTGTTTCCGAGGAAGAGGTTGAAGAGAACAAAAACGACAGCAAGCTCCAAAAATGCCTTCCCTAGTAGTCAAACGTTGCAAGCACAGCTGAAAAATAAGCTGGATACCAGATACTAACTCGCTTGTGGAACTGCAAACAACAGGCTTATATGTACTGCGATACTGGAATGAAGTGGACTTGGAAAAAGAAAGTGATCACTGAACTGATTTAGGAGTAACGAATGTAGGAGAGGAAGAGGGGGAGGAAATGGATTGGATGGGATGGGATGAGGAAGAAGAGGGGGAAGAAGAGGAAGTAAGGGGAGCGGTTCGGAAATCGGGAGGGAGGCGGAAATGTATGCCAGCGAGGCAACGCACCGCATACCGAAAATGCAGGTTGGAGCTCAAACAGCCAATCATATCGAAGGGACTGGGCATTGACAGCGTTGACTACCACGTGCGTGCGCTTCCCCTTACGTCGGCGCAACAAGCTTGCGTTTCTGCGCGGCCTCTCCCGAAGTGACGTGCGCGGATGTCACGACCGAAGAGAAAGGACTCGGCCGAGAAGCCTCCCCCGTCTCTGACCTTCCCGCGGAAGGGGTTTCCCGCGCATAAGAAACGCTGGGTACGCCAAGTCAGGGAAGAAAAACAGAACTCCACACACCAGTGATTTCCGATTTAGCATTTCGAACACGTACTGAGTATATTAGTCTTGGCACAATAGTTTTCTGAGTATAAGCCCTTCCGAAATCAAGACAAATATTTTCTTAAGTGCCAGCATTTGCTGCAAAGGGTAAGACTGGCTAAACTATCTCTATACAAACTGCATGAAAGCATCATATGCTAGATTGTTTCAAGTATTGAAGAAATTGTAAACCGAAATGCTCACATACATACATCTCATCACCCCCTTTACACTCCAAGACACTCAAGACTGCGCACATTCAAATCCGGCGTTCTCATGCATCTGCAGGCGCTGCAGAAGCTCCATGGGCCTGTAAGGAGTCAACAACCATACGCGGTGCAACACAAGGTCACGACGAGTCCGAAATGCAATGAATCACATCACATCACAAATACCATGTCAACCACAGTTCATACGGCATGCCCTCTTTCCGAAAGGAGAATGTATGCAGTAAGAGCAAGGTGGGAGAAAGGGAACACTCACGCAAAGAACTCGCGAGGCCGGTGCATGCGCTGCTGATTCTCCACCATCACTCCAGAAATATGTGAAGAGAGTGAAAGCGAAAGTAAATGTAAGTGAGAGTGCAAGTAGGAGGGAGCACTCACGCAAAGAACTCGCGAGGTCGGCGCATGCGCTGCTGGTTCTCCACCATCACTCGAATCATGTCGGCCGGCTCAGGCCCCCCCACCCCTGCTGCCACCCTTGAAGCTGATGGTGCATGAGGCGTCCACAACTGATGGGGGAGGGAACACATAAGAGGTACAGGGATGAAGGGAGTCTGATGGGAAGACTAGGCTCAGACCCTGCCATCCCTACCAGCTCAGGCCCCCCCACCCCTGCTGCCACCCTTGATGCCGATGGTGCATGGGGCGTCCACAACTGATGGGGGGGAAATACACAAGAGGCATGTATGCAGAAGGCATTAGGCTCAGGTCGCCGCACCTATGCTGTCAGCACGCTCAGGTTCAGACCCTACCAGCCGTACCGGCCCTGCGTGTGATGAGTCGATGTTTTAGTCGACTCAGCAATCAGCAAGCTCTGGTTCAGACCCTATCAGCCCTACCGGCCCTGCTGGCCCAGTGAAGACAAGCAGGGAATCGGATCGAGAGGGGTGAGAGGAGAGGGGTGAGAGGAGAAGTGCCAGATCCCAAGCACTTCCCCTATATAGTACCCCTCTCATCAAGTGCTGTGCCTCACCTCGATGGTATCGTCGATGCCACTGGTGGCACAGCAGTCGACGGGGTGACGCTTTGGGCCCAATCACAATACAGAGGAATGCGAGTGCTCAGGATTGGCAAGACCTGCCGTGGCTCACCTTGATGGTGTCGTCAATGCCGCTGGTGGCCACACAGCAGTCTACGGGGTGACACTGAATGCAGTTCACCACTGCCATGGGGGTTGTGGGAGGAAGGAGAGAGGGAATGGAGCAAACAGATCAAGGAAAAGGCGGGGGTATGGAGATTCCTCCTGCCAATCCGTTTCTCCCACACAAACCGCCGCCGGTTCTCCCACAGGCTGCCATGCATCTCAAGCACTCATTGTCACTCTCTGGCCATGCTATGCAGCACACCCTTTCCTCATCCCAATTTACGAGGCGCCAAAACAATTCTCTGATGGTCTGCCATGCATCTCAAGCACTGATGCCATGCATCTCAAGCACTGATTGTCACGCTCTGGCCACGCTACGCACCACACACTTTCCTCATCCCATTGACAATCTCTCATCCCAACCACTCACCATGCTCGTCCCCTGCAAGCATCTTCACCACCCGGCCAGTGCGCTTCTCCCACACAAACCACATGGTGACGTTCAGACTCATTACATATGTCCCCTAGTGTGGAACAACATGCCATCTCTCATCCCAACAACCACCCACCATGCTCGTCCCCTGCAAGCATCTTCACCACCCGGCCAGTCCGCTTCTCCCACACAAACCGCATGGTGACGTTCAGACTCATTACATATGTCCCCTAGTGTGGAACAACATGCCATCTCTCATCCCAACAACCACCCACCATGCTCGTCCCCTGCAAGCATCTTCACTACTCTGCCAGTGCGCTTCTCCCACACAAACCACCGCCCATCGTCGCTCCCGCTTGTCACAAACTCCCCCCGGTCTCCCAGAAATGACGCCTGCTTGATATCCGTCCCCGTGTTGCAGTGCCCCACAAACCGCTGCCTCATATCCACTGCCCTCATCCGTTCCACTGCTCCCCTTTTCACCTCTTCCTCTTCACCCTCCTCCCCCTCCTCCCCCTCCTCCCCCTCCTCATCATCCGCTTCTCCCTCCTCCCGTGTACTCACGCTCCCGCCCCCCATTCTCCTCGTCTCTCCGCCTGCCCCTCTGGCGCTCTTCTCCCGTCGCACCCCCTCCTCTCGGTCCTCCTCCCCTTCTCTGCTCCTCCTCAGTCTCAGGTTCAGACTCACCCTTCTTCCTTCCCCACTCGCTTCTCCTCCTCCCACCCCTCGTCCCCTCCCCACTCCTCCCGCTCCTCCCACTCCCCCTCCTCCTCCCGCTCCTCCTCCTCCTCCTCCTCCTCCTCCTGCCACAGTCTCATCTCCTGGGTCGTCTTCTCTCTCCTCTGCTTCAACGCCAGGAGCCAGTCTCATGTCCACACGAACCTCAAAAACCTCTTCCTCTTCCTCCCCCTCCTCATCCTCCTCGTTTCCCTCCCCTGCACCCTCCTCCCCACCCTCTTCCACTAACCCCTCCTCTGCCAACTTCACCTCCTCTTCCCTCCTCGCCTCACTCCCCTCCGCTCTTCCACCCTCTCCCCCCTCCCCTGCCCCCCCTGCACCTACTCCCCCTTCCCCCACTCTCTCTCTCTCCACACTCTCCTCTCCCACCACTGCACCTGGAGCATCCTCCCTGCTTAATACGGAGCCTTCATTCTCGCTAAGTAAGTGCCCACGCCGGCGAGAGCGCGGCCTAAGTAAGTCACTTAGCGAGCGAAGGCTGATGCGCCTGTGTGGATTGCTGTGGGTGCTGCCACTGCCACCAGCAGCACCACTACCACCGGCAGCAGTAGCAGCAGTAGCACCTGTAGCAGCAGCACCACCAGGAGCAGCAGTAGCACTTTCTGCATTTCCCCCTGTCCCTGCCTCTGCCTCCCTCCCAGCCTCTGTGCCTGCCCCTCCCCCTACCCCTGCCCCTACACCTGCCCCTGCCCCTGCCCCCGCCCTTGCCCCTATCTCTTCCCCTGCTTCAGTTGTTGCTCCTACTCCTGCCACAGTCCCTGCACCGGAATCACCAGCAGTAGCAGCATCAGCAGTAGCACCAGCAGCTGTAGCAGCGGCTGTAGCAGCAGAGGGACTCCCACCGCTGCTGCTGGTGCCGCTGCTGCTGCTACTGCTCCCAGCCCACACCCCTCCCCCTGTGTGAGGCTGCCCCCATGCGCTCAGGCGATTCTGCCTCCCCTCCTCTGTGGGGGAAGCGGAAGGGGACGGGGATGGGGAAGAGGGGGGGGGGAGAATGGGGAAGGGGAAGAGATGAAGGGCAAGAAGACTTCAGTGTAGGAGAAGGGATCTGATCATCTGTAGTAGCCATCTTGGCTCGTAGGGGCATAAAATGGGAATGTGAGGTAAGGTGAGGTGAGGTCAAGTGAGTTGTGGTGAGGCGAGGTGTGGTGAAGTGGGGTGAGGGGCTTTCATTACCTGCAGCTGCCATCTTGGCTCGCAGAGACATGACATATGAGGAGAGGAGAGGTTGCTGTCGAACGTGGTGAGGGTGAGAGAAGCGAGGAGAGGTAGGGTGGGGGGTTTCATTACCTGCAGCAGCCATCTTGGCTCGGAGCGACACCACGTAGGAGGAGAGGTTGCTGTCAAACATGGCTGCTCGCTCTGCAAACTCCACCGCCTCTTGATGCTGTCCCAGCTGCAGGGATGAAAAGGGAGGGGAGGGAATGGGGAGGGATGTGAGTCTCACAACGGATTTTGAAAGCAACAGATCTTCATGCTCTCCGGCGGCTGCCAACAACCGAGATCAACCGAGGTCAACAGAGGTCAACAGAGGTCAACAGGGGTCAACCTACCTGGGAGAAGGCATGGGCCACGTAGAGGTGAGCGCGGATGGACGTGGGGAGGACCCGATCAGCTTAGTGCCTAAGCAAAGTCAATGAAGGTAAACACAGGTCAACTTAGGTCAACGCAGGTCAACAGGGGCAGCCTACCTGGGAGAAGGCATGGGCCATGTAGAGATGGGCGCGGATGGACGTGGGGAGGATTCGCCTGGCTTCGTTACAGTCACGCAGCACCATCAGATCGTCGTTCTTCCATCCCCTCTGTAAGATCACATCAACGCAAAGTAGAAGGGCGAGAATCATTTCATAACAGTAATTGGGAATCGCATCATTTCATAACAGTAATTGGGAATCGCTACGGCCCTGGTGCAGACTTGGGAGTCACTTTCGAGAATTCCTCGAGAGTGCAGAGTGCATCGTGGCGCACCCCCGGTCCAATCGCATCCCCCCCCCCCCCCCCGCCCCTTCTTCCAGCACCGCACTGCACAGGTCATTGCCAGGCTGGCCGTTTGCCCCTACACCAGGCTCAGCAAGCAATAGACACCCATCATTACTCACCTCCAGCATCGCAGCGGCTCGTGTGCAGAGCGCGTCATGCCGCACCCCCGGTCCAATCACCTCCCCCCCCTCCTCCAGCACCGCACTGCACAGGTCTATCGCCAGGCTGGCCCGCCGCCCGGATGCCACCTGCTGACTCCTCGTCCTCTCCCTAGACGCCCTCCTGCCCGCCCCACTTGACGCCGCACCTGGGGCGGCACCTGAGGTGGCACCTGAGGCCGCACCTGGGGCGGCACCTGAGGCGGCACCTGAGGTGGCACCTGACGCCCCTCCCTGCCCCTCTCCCCCCTCGCCTGCTGGTCGGGCTGCTTCTGACTCGGCCTCCAGGCCGAGAACTATCGCAGAAGCTTCCTCCAACAGCTGCTCGCACTCTTGCAGCTGGGGGGAGAAGGTAGACGTAAGGAAGGGAAGGGAGGGGGAGGTGGGGAACGGAAGGGAGGTGGGGAAGGGAGGTGGGGAAGGGAGGTGGGGAAGGGAGGGGGGGAAGGGCGGTGGGGAAGAAAAGGGAGGTGGGGAAGGGAGGGGGGGAACGGAGCGGGAAGAAAAGGAAGGAAGGGAAGGGAAGGGAAGGGAAGGGAAGTGGGGAAAAGTCAGGCGACGAAGATAGAAGGGAAGAGGCAGGAAAAGGAGACTGGAGGGAAGGCAAGAAAGGAAGACAGGAGGCGGTAAAAAGCTAAGGAGGAGGAGAGCGGAAGAGGAAGTAAAGCAGGAGAAGAGGAAAAAAGGCAGGAGAACAGGGAGGCAAAGCGAATGACCGCACAAGGGTGGAAGTAGCAGGGTGGTGCAGGGTGGAGGCGGGTGGTAGAGGGTGAGGGGTTGGGGTTGGGACGGGGGTGGGGATGGGGGTGGGGGTGGGGGTTGGGTTGGGGATGGGGTGGGGTGGGGTGGGTGGGGTTGGGGGGACTGAGCAAGCAGGGTGGGGTGAGGCAAGAGGTTATAGAGTCCAGCCCACTAACCTTGGTATAATCCCTGTCGCTTGGCCCCAAGCCTGGGCCCACGGCTCGGTCCCGAACCACTCCTGCCCGAGGCAGTTCGGTCCGCCCATTGGTGTACCTATCCCACACGCTACTGCCACTGCCACTGCCAGACCTGTCACCCTGCTTCGGAAGTGAGCCGTTTCTGTCTTTCTCCCCAAGGCTACCAGGCTCGGAGTGCTTAGCTGAACCAGGCTTGGGAGTATGGGGCTTTAGGCGAGGAGAAGAGGGCTTATGTTGGTTTCCTCTTCTGTGCTCTGAATCTGGTTCTTGTCGCTGTTGCTGCTGCTGCTGCTGCTGCTGCTGCTGCTGCTGGTCTGGCTGGCAAAATCCGTTAGTGCGGCCATTGCTGATGCTGGGGGTGGTGCCAGTTTTGTGATTGTAATGAAGGTCCGAGGGCTTGAGGGGAGCCAGCCTGTGAGACGCTGCCACGTCAGCAGGAGTGTAGATCATGGACGGCAGGGTTGCTGAGATGGAAGCGAAGAGAGAGCAGGCAGAGGGCGCATGGAGAAGGGGAAGGGGGGAAAGTGGGGGTGGGGGGAAAGGAGGGAGGAATTAGTTTGAGGGGCCTGTGAAGAGGTCAGCAGGTGTGTAGATCATCGACAGCAGTGTTGCTGATAGAGAGTTAAACGGTGAAAGAGGCAAACGGTGAAAGAGCAGGCCGAGGGGACATGGAGGAGGAAACGGGGAGGGTGAGGGGGTGGGGGGTTGGGGCTGGCGGGGAGGAAGGGTGGGGGAGGAGTTTGAAGAAAGACGTAGGAATCAATCTTCGTTTGGCGCTTCAAAATGAGGTTCTGGAGAATAGGCACGTCAGCACGTCTCTCCTCTCTCCTCTCCCCACTCCCCTCTCCCCACTCCCCTCTTCCCTCTCCCCTCTCTCTCAATCTTCACCCTCACCCCAAGTCAATGCAGTCAACAGGAGCTGCTCACCTCGGTCAAGGTCAAACAGGTACACGTGCTCGCCACTGTAGCTCAGCAACGCCTCCTCCCCATTGGCTGAGAAGGCCACGTGGGTCAGGTGCAGGCCTGACCGCCCTTGCTGTAGCGGGGGAGGGAGGGTTTTCGGGGAGTTGGGGGGATTGGAAAGGAACGAGGGAGGAGGGTTGGGGGAGTGAAAGTGACAGGAGAGGAGGGGTTAAGGAAATTTGTAAGAGGGGTGGTTGAAGAGTGTTAAGTTGGGAAGTTTTGGCGTGTTGAGGGGGTGAGAACACGAAACGAAGGGAAGACACGGAAAGAAATTACAGAAAGAATGCGGAATTGCCAGGAAAAAATGGTTCCTATATGGGAAAGGACACTCTGAGGAAGAGCAGGAGCAGATAGCTGGGAGGGGAGGAAGGAGGGGGGGGGGGAAAGGGGGTTCAACTCAGCACACACTTACAACAAGTGACTTCACAACATAACAGTTCAAAGAGGTGGTGAGAGGCGGGAAGGAGTAGAGAGGGGTGCTGAGAGGTGCTGAGGGGTATTGAGGGGTGGTGAGAGGTGCTGAAACGGACTGGAGGAACATACCGGTTCCGAAAGGTGACTGGGAGCGAGCAGGAGCAGAGGGGGTGGGGGCTTGGGGCGAGGGGAGGCGCGGGAGAGGGAGGAGGGCGATGGGAGCATTCGACGGTCGTAGATGCGAGCAAAGGCGTCACTGGGAGGGACGAGGGGCGAGGAGAGGGGCAGAGGGGCGAATGGAAGCACAGGGTGAGCTTCGAAACATCTCAACAGGGGCAGGAGGGAGAGGGGGACGATGCATACAATGGTTGTAATGTGAGCAAAGGCATCACTAGGAAGGGCGAGGAGCAGGGGGGTGAGGAGAGCGAGGCAGATGATGGAAAAGAGGGAACAGTGTAGAGAAGGACAGAGAAACGCGAAATCACCAACCTGAATCTTCCTTACCCTCACAATATGTGCAAACTCACCTCCCTCCCACCATCAGCAGGTGTGGTCGGGTCGGGCTGATGGCACAAGACTTGAGAGCCAATGAGTCGCGAGGTGGATCTTCGAGCGAAACTTTTCCTGCTGCCCGAAGGTCAAGCTGAGAAGGTAGTAAAAAGAAGGAGATAAAAAAGAATAAATGAGAAGAACAGGAGGTGCGCGCTTGCGAGTTTGTGGACAGAATCAAAGCAAAGAACAGCAGGGTTGGAGGCACTAGAGGCAAGGGGAATGCAACCAGGAGAGCCTCAGTGAGGGGAAGGGGTGAGGCGGAACACATGGCCTACAGGGGCTGGGCAGCATGAGCAAACCAGCACACCGCGACATTTTAAGGGGGCGCGAAAGAGGGAGTGGTGGAGGGGGGAGTGTGAGCTGGTGTGACCGTGTGAGCGGAAAGCGGAGCGGAGGAGGGATAGAGCATACCAGCACACTGCGGCATTCTGAGGCGCCGTGATACAGGGAGTGGTGAAGAGGGGAGTGGGAGCGCGCGTGAGTGGTGGGCGGTGGACAGATGGACGTCTCTCTCAGGTCGTGCTGCCTCAGTGTGGCGTCCTCACTCGCACTCCACACCACATGCGGATTGCCCTCCTCCACCTGCTCGTTACACGCACACAGAGAGGTGCAAGCACACATGATGCCAGCAGGGGCAGCCAAAGAAAGAGGTGACGGTACAGCCAGTCAGAAAGCTGCTTCTTTCAGCAGCTTTCAAACTGTTGTGTTGTTGTGCTGTTGTGCTGTTGTGTTGTTGTGTTTCAGTTGGACTCTCTTTTGACGATTCCCAACGAGTGACTCCAATCTCATCCCACACTCACCGCAAGCTTCTTGACCCTTTGGTTGTGGCACCAAAACACTGCTGCAGGCTCTGATTGCTGCTAGTCTGAGGCAAATAAAGGCACTTAAACCTCAGGAATCCCATCCCACACTCACCGCAAGCTTCTTGACCCGGCGGTTGTGGCACCGGAACATTGCTGTCTGCTCTGATGAATGGGACGGACCGCTGGATGCAGACAAATCTTGCCGTCCGGCGCCGGGTGAGCCAGTTGCAGAGGGGGAGGATGACGTGGCGAGGGCAGGAGCGGTGGAGCGTGAGAGCCTGTGCACTCGCACCTGATTGGGTGAGAGGGAGAGAGGGAGAGAGCAGAGGAAGAAGGAGGAGACAAGGGAAGGAGGTGAGAGAAGAAATGCGAGATTTGTGCAAAGGGCGGGAGCGATGAAGCTAGATAGTACACACACTCGCTCGCGCCTGATGGGAGGAGAAAAAGGTCAGAAACGATGACAGATACGCCCCTCAGAGTTGCAGCATGTCGAGATGGCCGAGTTGGTCTAAGGCGCTGGATTAAGGTTCCAGTCCGAAAGGGCGTGGGTTCAAATCCCACTCTCGACATTTTCTTCCTGCCAGTTTTGCTGCACAATGTCATGCTGATTTTGAGCGCAGTGGTGACTGAACCTCGCCAACCCCTCTCCCCCTTGCCCCATTCCACTCCTGCAGCAGCTCGATCCTCTTCGTCTCTCACTCGTGTAAATGCTACTGCTTTCTTCCTTTTTCTGCCTGTCTCCTCTTGACTCCCTCGTCTCCCTTCTCACTCCCAGCGCCATCTCATTCAATGACAAGAGGCAGGGCTTTTTCTCATTCCCTTCCTACCTAATGTCCTGTCCCCTCCCCCCCCACCCTCTCACCTCATTGTCCCCAGCGCCAGAGGCTAACACATCGTCCGCTGTCTCGGGCATGAAGCGCACACAGAAGATGTTGCCCGAATGGCCCGAGTCCACAGAGTGAAGTAACCGCCGCGAGCTGTAGTCCCACACATTCACCTGCGGAGGGCAGGAGGGGAAGAGGAGAACGCGGGGGCCCAGAATGGTCAAAGAAGATTTTGAATACGTACGAGAGGTGGAGGATGGGGGTAGTGGGAGGGAAAGGTAGGAAGTGGTTGGGAGGGGGCAGTCAAGGGGACAGCGCCTGACGAAGAGGAGGAGGGGGCATTCAAGGGGACAGCGCCAGACGAAGAGGATTTTTTTTCCACTGGATGACAGTGGCATTCCATTCAATGCAGGCTACAAGCCATGCAGGAATCCACGCATCCTCCTAAGGATGAAAGAGCAGTGGTAGAAAGAAATTACAGACTGAAGTAGCGATCACGTAATCAGGGACAAGGAGAGTCAGAACAGTACTTATAGCAGCTGAACATGATGTCACAGGAAAACGACAAGAACAACGCAAATCTAATACTGAATGTGGAATACTGCATAATCGGCTGTAATCCATCAATCCACACACTGAGACAGGACGGAAGCAGCACTGTATATTTAAGCTTAAAATTTCACCACAAAATCGTCGAACTCCCCCGCACCCCCCTCTTCCTCCCTCCCCCCAATCCCCCCCCCCTCCAAAACAACCTTGAAGATGTAAGCTTACCATAAAATCGTCAGAACCGGAGAGAAGGAGTGAGCCGGACCGATTCCATGCTATGGCGTTCACACACCCCCGATGACCCTGAGGGAGGAGAATCGGGTTCGAATTCAGGTTCAGGGAGTGTGACGTCATACATACAAGAACAAGGACACGCAGGCACGCTTTGAAATGTCATGTAAGCGATCACAAGAGGATGCGATACAAGCTTAGTTATATGCAAGCAGAATTACTAGAAAACGAGCTACTTCAAAAAAACTTGGTCTTGCTTAGTCTAACGCGACAACGAAGAAGCAACCCAACAGTTTGAATTTCACAAGCCAACCCAACACCAACCTCCATAACGGTCTCCAATGCAAGGCGTGACACTAACGAGGGGTGGAACTGCATCCGGCGCGCGAAATCATGCTCGCAGTAAGGCGGAGGCACCTGAAACAACCACGCAGGTAGCCACACAGGCAAGAATGACAAGCGAGTCATTAAGAACATAGGAAACTATCACATCGGAAGCACGTGATCATGCTCGGAGTAAGGAAGAGACATTCGAAACAACCACACGTGTAAGGATGCCAAGGGAAACAGAAGGAGATTAATGAGATTCTCATGTTGGCAAACCACTCTTGAAAAGCGATTCGATTTGTGCTAAGCGTCAAAACAAACTACTCTCAAAGCCGTTTTCATACCTCGCGCGAGTCGATTCGATGTCCCTCAAGGAGGCCGAAAATGTTACGGTCCATCCGACGGATGTGATTCTCCCTCTCCGTCGCCATCTTCCCAAAGCCGATCGTAGCCGTACCTTTTGCTCGGTAACTAAGCTGTTACGAGCTATCCTTTTCGTCCGCGACAGCTTGAATAAGCTGTTGTCTTGCAACTACAACTAACCGTTTCCACAAAGAGATACGTTTTCGACTCTAAAACAACCTGTACTGCCAGGCACGGAAAAACAGGTGTCTGGGTGATAATCTAAAATTCAATGCTTTCGGATTACGCTCCTAAGCGCGAAAGAGTAAATTCTCTTCTTGGTTCAAAACCTAACCACAGACAGTGCTCGCCGCTGCTACTTATGAGACTTCCGCGCACAAGCGAGCATACCCTGGTCGCATGGTCTACCCACGTGAAGCTAGCTTCTCGTTTCTCTAGGACCTTCGGGCTTCTGAATGCGAGAGCTGCATGTGAAGCCCCAGCGATATTGTCGGAAGGGAAATTTGACCTGGAGGGACGAATGTATGCTGACACCTTTTCGAGCCCTGAACGACGTCGCAAAACACCCAATATTTTCGAAGGCTGAAGGGTACCCTACACCTGACCCGGGATTAATTTCAGGACGTGCTTTGGGCAGACGGCGAGATCTCAACTGACAATGAAGAGTGCGGCTATTCGTGCCAGTGCGAATTATAATCTGAAAGACGTTCATTCTTGAAACAGCCTCCTGGGTCGACGTTTTTCAGGGAAAGTACCAAACGTGTTCTTCAGGAGCAAGCACGCATGCAGGTGCGAAAGGTGAATTCGGTGCTGCTGGTCCGCCAGGGGAGGGTGGGGTGGGTAGTTTGCCTCAGGGACGGGGAGGATGGTGAAATAAGGCACATAGATAATGGAAATTTGACTACCATAACATCAGAGATCTGTATAAAAGAGAAAACATAGAAAGAACAAACATGTAGGAGTGACAGAAATGTCCATAAAAAACATGAACCACTTACATGTAAAAATCTCATCATGAGGCTGAGTCAAAATGAATATAGTATAGATTGATTTGTTTAATCAAATAATCAGCTGAATATGCGTAGATATTGAGTTTCCATGCCTACAATATCTGCTTAAAAAAACTTTTTTTCACGCCCTGTGTTGTATGCAAAAGGTGGTCCAGTTATTCATAGCTATGATGCTAGTGTGTGGAGTTGGCACAAATACTCCTCTTAAATTTTCATGTAGATGTACTGGTACATAGGCCAACATCAAGGTTTGCTAATGAGTGAAATAACGTGGCACTATCCCACCCCTCCAGACTCACCGACGTGGACGGGCCAGCGTCGCACCGCAATCCGGCTGTCCAACCGTCTTCGACATGCAGGACACGGCGATGCCAGCACAGCCGCACGCACCTTTACCTCAGCTCTGCCCAGCCGGACTTCACCGCAACAGACATTTTTCGATGTTTGTTTTGCGCACCGCGCATCTCTGCGCCTCGGGGGGCTCAAGCGAGTGGGTCTTGTATCCTTCTCGTATCAAAGGCTGTTTGGGAAAGCTTTTTCTGTCAAATTTTGCTTGAGGCATACTCCAGCTCAGATGCGGGACAGAGTTTCCATTCCTCGTCTTCGTGTTTCCAGCTCAGTCGTCCATCTTGTTAGCGTCCGCACATCGTCTTTTAGCATGCTTATGACGTGTTACTTCTACGACTCGACTGCCCCCTCGTAGCTTCCGTCCGGTTAGCCTCGAAAGCACCGACTCCTAAGTGCCCATGGCGCGTCCCTCCGGCCAAGTTGTGATTATGCGACAGCTCTCGATTCTTCCAGTACGCCATGGTTCCCCCTACGCAAGGCCTTTTAGAAGTCGGGTGCATCGTGCGTATTATAGCCGCGCAAGGCCTTTTAAAAATAATTCGTCAGACGACTCGTATCGTCCTCTCTTGAACCCGCGAGGAGCCGCGCAGTGGCTCGTGAAGCTGGTTACCTCGAGAAGCTAAGGACGAACAGTTCAACTGACGCCACTGAGGTTACTCTGATTGAACTCGAGAATCCTTCTTGACACCCGCTCCGCGAAAACGCACGACAGTATTAGACACTCTCGCACTGAAGCTTCACGACACTGAAGCTGCGTTATAATGGACGCTAGCGCGAGTGCCTTAGTTGCTACCTCGACTCGGCTGCCGACGATCGCGTCGCCCCCATGTATGGCGGTCGTTTCACCGTCTCCTATGCGCGCCCGTGCGAATCCCGCTTCGCTTGCGCGCTTTCACAGTGCATCCGGCGTTCCCAGGAGGAGTTTGGCGCACAGGTCGTTGACTGCGCGCGGAGTTTGTGGTGCTGGCGGTAGCTACGCGCGGAGCTTCCGCCGACCTCCCGCCATCTCTTGCGCCCTTGCGACCCCCCCGGATCCCGCGCCCTTGGAAGGGTCAGCCAAGGCGCTAGGCGGGATTCCCGTCCACCCCGCGGGAGGGCGCGATTCGGGGGAAGGAAACACGAAGACTCTCGACGACTTGTTTGACTCGGAGGTGAAATCGCGCGACGAGTTCGTGTGGGAAAAGAACTGGTATCCTGTGGCTTTAATCGAAGACCTCGACCCGAGCCGCCCGACGTCGATCCAGCTCCTAGGCCGCGACTTGGTGATCTGGCGCGACTCGCAGGGCATATGGCGTGCGCACGCGGACCGCTGCCCGCACCGCCTTGCGCCGCTCTCCGAAGGCCGATTGGACGAAAACGGGTTGCTACAGTGCCCGTACCACGGTTGGTCGTTTCGAGGCGACGGAACCTGCGCGGTTATCCCCCAAGCCTCGGACACAGGCCCGGAATCCCGAGCCTGCTCCTCGTCCCGAGCCTGCGTAGCGTCGTACCCGGCCCTGGTTTCCCAAGGGCTTCTGTTCGTGTGGCCGGAGGAGGGGCGATGGGGGGAGGCGCTAGCTGTCGAGCCGCCGCGATTGTCATCCGGACGTGTTTGAAGACGAGGCGTTTTCGAGCGTGACTATACAGAGGGACCTGTATTATGGATTCGATACGCTCATGGAGAACGTGTCTGACCCTTCCCATATCGAATTCGCGCATCACAAGGTATGAATCACACTGGGTACGCCTTAGATGGCATTACTTACATGGTTGTACTTGTTGCAACTATGTCAAATGCCACTTGTTAGTAAAGTGAGTCATGGCATGACTGGCGAATGATAGTAAAGTGAGTCATGGCGAATGATAGCAACAACTGACACGTCTAATTGTGGTACTTTTTAATGGCTTCTTCTAGTGTACTATAGACTGACAGTTTTCTCTTGCCCCTCTCGTTGCTCCTGGTTACCCTGTTCACAGGTAACAGGGCGCAGGGACCGAGCCAAGCCACTGCCCTTTACTATCACATCCAGTGGACCGTTTGGATTCTCCGCGACCACCGATACAAGCACACCCACTACAGTCACACCCGCTAAGAGCACCGATACAAGCACACCTGATACCACGTCGGCTGAATTACCTGACAGCTCGATCCCTCGGATTTCCTCCTGGTTCATGGCCCCTTGCTCTTTCTTCAGCCGAATCGACCTCTTCCCCACCATCCCCGTTATAGGCAGGCAGCACTGGCAGCTGTGGATCTGCTCCTTTAACGTCCCCATGGGCCCTGGTAAAACGCGCTCTATCGTTTGCAGCGCGAGGAATTTCGCTCGGTTGACCGTCCCTGGGGGCAAGTGGTGGCAGCTGTATCCGCGGTGGCTGGAGCATCTGACATCAAATCTAATCTACGATGGAGATATGATTGTGTTGCAGGGCCAGGAGAAGGTTTTGAAAGGGGGAGGAGGAGGTGGAGGGGGAAGGGGAGGAAAGGGAGGAGTGCCGTATAGTAAGCTGACTTACACGCCTGCTGCTGCTGACAGGATGGTTCTGGCTTTCCGGAACTGGCTTCGTAGGTACGGCGGCGGCGAACCTGCTTGGGACCCGAGCCTAACCGCAGGTCCGGGAAGCGCCGCACCTCTCCCATCCACGGTTCTGTCGCGGGCAGAAATGCTCGACCGGCTCGGGCAGCACACGGAGAAATGCTCCTCCTGCCGGGCAGCTCTGAAAAATGTGAGGAGGCTGGCTGCTGTGCTGGCAGGGGCGGCGGCAGTGCTGCTTGCAGCAGCAGCGGTGGTTCCTGGGGAGGTGGTGGGGGTTGGAGGCAAGGCAGGGTTAGCAGTGGGAGCGTTGGTGTCGCTGGCAGGTGCTGCTTGGCTTAAATATGAGCTTGAACCGCAGTTTGTTCACCGTGACTATGTGCATGCTGATGTGGAGTGACGATTGGGGGAGGCCGTGGTGGGGGTTGGTGGCAAGGCAGGACTGGCATTGGGAGCGCTGGTGTCGCTGGCAGGTGCTGCTTGGCTCAAGTATGAGCTTGAACCGCAGTTTGTCCACTTAGACTATGTGCATGCTGATGTGGAGTGACCATGTGGGAGGTGGTAGGGGTGCAGTGGTGGTGGAAGTGGCAGCAGCAGCACCAGCACTAGCAGCAGTAGTAGTAGCAGCAGTGAGAGCAGTGGTGTCGCTGGCAGGTGCTGCGTGGCTCAAGTATGAGCTTGAACCGCAGTTTGTTCACTTGGACTACGTGCATGCTGACGTAGAGTGAGGGTGTGGTGGTGGTAGGAGTGGCAGGGTTAGCAGTGGGAGAGCTGGTGTCGCTGGCGAGTGCTGCTTGGCTCAAGTTGTATGAGCTTGAATCGCAGTTTGTTCACTTAAATTACGTGCATGCTGATGTGGAGTGAGGAGGGGCAGGGTTGTTGTGGTGGTAGGAAGTGGAGTGAGGATGGGAGGTGGGAGGGGTGAGGTGGTGGGACAGTGCTGCTTAGTCCATTGTGGAGTTGGTGCTGTGAAAAAGGGAAGGGTGAGGTGAGGAGAGGTGATTGCGTGCATCTTTTTTGAGTGATTGGTGATATGCATGTGGACTACTAGGTGTGTGCTTTCTGCTTGTTGCCTACGCCTTTGACAGAATTGTGTAAATATTGCAGTAGTGTTGCAATGTGTATATCCTGTAAATACTGTACATGTGTGCTGGAGCAATTTGATCGTGTTGTACCATCACCTCCATGCCAACCTGCTTTGCACACCAATAGACTACGTACAAATTCTTTTCCGTAGCAACATGTTGCCTGCAACAAAATATTCCCATCAGTACATAGCTCTTCTCCAAGTCAACATGCTATTTTCATTCACAAGACAATCACACCATTCAAATTCCCCCTTCATCCACACTCTGTTCCTGCATCCCCTCCGATCCCACCTGCAGCATGTTTTCCGAATACGCTGACCTCGCACACCACCTATATTCGAGGCACTAACAACTCGTACCACTAGAAACATCCCTTCACTCCCCCTCTGCTCCGCCGTCCCTCCCCTCCAGTCTCAGCTGCAGGAATTCTTCCGGGTATTCAGACCCTCGCACGCCTTACAGTCACAGCCCCTACTACTTGACGCAGATTCCCCCCTTCACTTCACTCCCCCTCTGCTCCGCCCTCTCTCCCCTCCAATCCCAGCTGCAGAAATTCTTCTGGGTACTCTGACCCTCGCACAAAACGCGTGTATGACACTGGGAGGGGAAAAAAGGAGGGGAGGGGGTCAGAACCTCGCACAAAACGCGCGTACGACGCTGGGAAGGGTAGGAGAAAGCGAGTAGGAGAAGTGAGTGTAGGAGAAGGGGAGGGGTGGGCAAGGAATAGCAAAAGGGGTGTGCGTGCGATGGGGGCGGGGGGAGTGGAAGGGAGAAGCAAAATCCACGCATCCATCCACAGGCACAACTGCTCACAAAGGCAACAATTCACCCTAGGGGCCTTCACAAACCAACCCCTTCATACTCCCTCTCACCGTTCTCAATCTTGTTAAGACTCGCAAGCATCACGTCCATCTTCTTCCCCATCTCCTTCCCCATCTCACTGCTCCTCGGCAGCAGGCTGAACCCCGCATACAGCCGCTGCACGAACAGCCGACACGCATCCGCATCCACCTCCACTGCTCCTTCCCTATCTCTGGCCTCCGCCGCAGACTCGGCCCCAGAAGCAGGCTCGGATGCGCCAGCAGACTCGGCGGCTCGAGCCTCTGGTTGAGCCTCGGGTTGCTCCCGTGGCCTCTTCCCTCGCCTGTTAAAGCCCTTTCGGTTGGAACCCGCATATTCACCAGCAGCATCAGTAGAAGCACCACCACCACTGCCACCAGCACTGTCACCAGCAGCAGCAGCACGGCTGGACACGGCTAGCCTCATGACTTCACCCGTCAGATCTGCTAGCTGGAGGGGAGGGGGTTGGGGGTTGGTCAGGGGGTAAGGGAGCGGGCGAGGATTTGACATCTCATCAGCACCAGCAGCATCAACAGCAGAAGTACGGCTGGACACGGCTAGCCTCATTACTTCACCGGTCAAATCAGCTAGCTGGAGGAGAGGAGAGGGGCACGGGAAGGGTTTGACGTATTATCTGAAAGCATAGATATACGTTCATATGCCCATACTTTCAGATTCGTATATTCTTCTCAAGAATAATCCACTCACGGACAGACCACTTACCCACCAATAATGCAGCACTCCCTCCCTCCTCTCCTCACCCCCTTGCACTCACACCCAGCACATAGTCTGCAGCATGCACGTGGAAAGTTCGTACAAGCTATCATTCCAACTCACTCCTCCCTCTCCCGAGTCCCGCCCCCTCTCACTCCCGAGTCCCGCCCCCTCTCACTCCACCCTCTCATCCCCTCCTCCACCCACCCCCAGCACATAGTCAGCAGCATGCACGTGAAAGGTTCGCCCGTCGCGGTCCAGAATGCCCTCAAACGCACCGTTCACCTGCGCAAGGCAAGGCAGGACAGGGCAGAGAGGCAAGAAGAGCAGCAAGGCAACTTCTGAGGCGCCTCAAAAACTGAGCCGCCTCAAAAGTAGGCAAGGAGCACAGGTGCATTGGGGAGAGCCGCGAAGGAGGGCAGGCACACGTGGATTGTTCGCCCATCCCGGTCCAGAATACCCTCCAGACCAGAATACCCTCACGTGCACCGTTCACCTGTGCGCAACACCAGTGCCCTCTGCAAGGCACAGACTCAAGAGGAGCAACAGTTCAGGGGGCACTGGTGAATAGGAGCAGGCGCAGAGGGGACAGCCGCAGAGGTGGTTCCAGTTAAGAGTATACAGATATATATATATATACATATATACACCTATATATAACAATGACCTTTCCCCACAGCCACTCCACGTCCCTCCACAGCTGACCATTGAGTTGACTCAACAATCACCCCATGACCCTCCCCCACTGTCACTCCGCGTCCCTCCACATCCCCCCCGCTCTCTCACTCACATGTGCCAGTGCCATCGCTCACAGTTGCCCTGTGTGGCGGAAGTGCAGGAAAGACGCTGCATCCACCACATACTATCTGCGTCCCCACTCAACCCCCTATCGAACCCCCCATTAAACCCCACTTGACCGACCCTCCACCGCCCCTCTCTTTTACCTGGGCCAGAGAAAGCAGTTGGCCTGTTTGGCGGAAGTGCAGGAAAGACGCCGCCTCCACATACTCTTGCAACTGGGGGTGTGGGTGGGGGCAGGGGGCAGAGGGGAGAGGGAAAGGAAGGATGGAATGGAGCTCCCTAGGTGGCGACGAGGCGGGTGGAATGGAAGTGGAGGAAAGAAACTGCCTCCACGTACTCTTGCATCTGGCATGGACGCAAAGAGGCAAGAGAACCAAGACAGAAGCAAAGTGGGGCGAGGGGCGAGGATGGGACGAGGGGCGAGGAAAATGGAAGATGGGAGATTTTGAATGGATGGAGTTTTGAATGAATGGTGGCGAGGCGGATGGAGAGCAGATGGAGGAGCGATGCTGCCTCCACATACTCTTGCAGCTGCCATGGGATGGACCTTGGTGCGGCAGGTGGGCCGCAGGTGGGTGGCAGGTGGGCCGCAGGTGGGTGGCAGGTGGGCGGCAGAGAATTCACAATAGAACACACACCACCTCCCACCGAATCCCAAGGCATCCCATCGCACCCTGCCAGCACCCCTTCCCTCCCCTGACCCACCCCCCAGGTCTACGCGTGTGCGAAGCGCCAGTAGTCCTCTGTACTGAAATGGTGGGTTCGGGAGCCGCAGCCCACCTCACTCCACCCCACTCCACCCCACTCCACCCCACTCCACCCCACTCCACCCCACTCCACCCCACTCCATCCCATGCCATCCTACCACCCCCTCTTCCACGCATCCCCATATATACACGCGTGTGAACCGCCAGTAGTCCTCTGCTTGCAACTCGCGAGCCACCTGGGCAATATGACATGCAGAGGAACAACAGTCCACCCCACCCCACCCAATTGCACCGCATTCCATCCCATCCCTTCCCCCCTCCACCCACCCCCCTTTTGTAAGCGCGAGTGAAGCGCCAGTAGTCTCTGCTCTGCTTACAGCTGGCGAGCCACCTGGGCGATGTTGCATGTACATACCCACCCCACCCAATTGCACCGCATTCCATCCCTCCCTCCACCCACCCCCCACGTGTACGCGCGTGTGAAGCGCCAGTAGTCCTCTGCATTCAGATCGCGAGCCACTTGAGCGATGTGGTGTGCGCGTAGGGCCGCCAGTTGCTGCGCTGCTGCCGCCAGGGCGCGGGGGGTTGTGGCTCTGGGACAAGGAGGGGTGGAGAGCGGTGGAAAGGGGTGGGAGGTACAGCAGGGGTGAGGGGGGGTAGTAGAGATGTGTCTTCTGCATTCAGCCCGCGAGCCACGTGGGCCATGTGGTGGGCGCGTAGAGATGCCAGCCAGCTGCTGTGCTGCTGCTTTCAGGGCGACAGGGGTGGTGGTGGCTCTGGGACAAGGAGGGAAGAGGGGCTGAGGAGGGCCAAAGGGAGGCAAGGGGGTGTGGATTTGGGGAGAGCAGTGAGGTTGATGGATTAGAAAGGCCGATCCAAAGTTCATGACGTGGTAAAAACCGTACCATAACACGCCAACATGCTACGTCACAACTCCACGACGCAATGCCACGTCATCACGTGCCACGTCACACCTGTGGATGGCGAAGATGATCTTCTTGCTCTGTATAGTCACGTCTCTGCTCGCTTTCACCAGTCTCTCCCTTCGCTCGTTCTGCAAGCGTGATGTGATACAAACGGAAGAAGGTGAGATAAGAAGGAACAAGTCAACCAGGTGCAGCAAAAAAGCAACATCTCGCTTGTGAGGAGAATCGACATGAAGGAAACATCTCGCGGCAGGGTTCCGAGCGAGCAAGGTTCCGAGTCGTAAAAAGCTCAGGTGCACCTGAATCTTGCTCGCTCGGATTGATCGCCCGCAATGCCCGAATCCCCGCTGCACCCACTACAGCAACGCACCATTTCGTCTAAAATTCGCGCGTAGCCCTCGAATTCCGCCGCGATAGACGGAGAGCCGTCGTCCTCAACCATATTGCCCTCTCCGCCCTCTCCGCCCCCTCCGCCCACTCGCCCTCTCTTACCCCTCCTCCCTCTCTTCCTTTCTGTCCTCCTCCTAATCTGGTTCCCTCTAAGTTTATATTCGCGGTGATGCTGCTAGGAGCACCGTCGCCAAATCGGAAAACTAGGGATGCAGCTTTTGAGGCGCCTCAAAGGTGAAATTTACGGTGAATCTGCTTTGCTAGGAACGTCGACGCTACAACGACACGAACAAGTCAGGTCAGTCGGCGAGTACTTTCTTTCCGGTCTTCGGGAAAATGCACAGTTCTGCTTTTGCCTCGCCGTGTAACGCGGCGGATGATGTGGGGCGAAAGCGAGGGGAAAGCAGCAGCAGAATGACAAGAGAAAGAGGAATGTGGGGCATTTTTCTCGACAGCGGGATTTCATGCATTTTGTACTCGCTAAAATAGGATTTACCCGCCGATGTAAAAGAAAACATTCAAACCCTAATAATAACCAGGAAGATAGACCTCATCCAAAAGTCAAGCACAACTAGGTTGCAAACAAGTACAACTGCACAAAACTTGAATAAATCAATGTAAACAAGAGCAACTATGTTGCTGCACATTAATACAGCAATTTCACTACGGTACCATATTCTATAAGGGAGCCATGCTCCTGTTAGAAGTTACATCATCTCTAAAAGTGCTAGCATAAGCTATTTCACCACTTTCCTCTACATACACTTCCCACCGGAGAAAGCAGCTTCCAATATTATTCCACTTCTTGCTAACCCATGCCCTCCATTCTAACCACATAACCTCAACTAAACCCAAACACCTGAAGACGAAATAAACCATAATAGTCGGTGCCAATGCCACTCCACCTCCCATTCCCCTCCGTCCGATCCACACAACGAATGCCACAGCGCCCACTGCTTCATGATGCACATTCCCCAGCAAAAACGACAAGACATGCAGCCCCACACCGACCCACAGGCCCGGCATTCCCCCGAGCCTCCACGCGACAGCTCCGGCGACCTTCAGCCCGAGCCTTGTGTTCGCAGAGAGGATAAGGACCAACGACAACCATGCTACAGTAGCGTTGGTACCATAAAGAACCCCGAGGATGACACTAACAAGGATGAAAACGAGGTCGGAGCCAAAAGAAGCCCGCCACTCGGGCTGGAGGGGGGAGAGGAGGACGTGGAGGAGGGAGGAAGGCGCGTGGTGGAGGAAAGAGAGGAAGGAACGGGCGTGTGAAGCCAGAGGAAGGGTTGAAGCTTTGGAGAACTGGGCAGAAACACCAGCAGCATCAGCAGCAGCAGCAGCAGCAGCATTCGGGAAAGGAGGCGGGATAGGCGGCTGCATGATGGAGACGAGGCCCGTCCCGCAGGTGCCTACTGCCCCCAAAATACTTCTCTCCTGCCATTGTTGCCTCTTGCTCCGCTCCTCCTGAACTCCCAGCAACTGCCGCAGCAACAGCACCGCCGGTGCCAGCAGCAGCAGCAGCGCCGACCCGTCCCGTACAGCACGCATCTCCCTCCAACTGCCCCCCCTGTTCCAGCAACTTATCTGATCCACCCTGCTCCGGTCTCCTCCTTCTGCCCATGCCTGCATCCTGCCCCGCGTGTCTCTGCTCCTCCTGCTCCTCATGTACCCTGCTCATGCCACTCCTGGTTTCAAACTCAGCAGCCTGCCAAGCTGCTCCTCTCCTCTTGAACTCACCGGCCCGCCGTGCTCGCTGCTGCACTGCCAGCGCCCACCGCGCGTGGAACAGCCACCGCAGGTACCATGCCGAGAAGACCGGGCACTCCGAGGATGAGGCTCGGGCCGAACCTGGCCCAGGCTCGGCGGAGGGCCGAGCCGAGGCTGAGAACACCCTGTCGAACGGATCGAAGCTGGTTTGGTGGTATGGGAGGAGAGAATCGAGCAATAAAGAGGGTTGGGAATGGGGTGGAAGTTGGGGGTAAAAAGTATATATACACAAAACGTGGAATTTACTGATTTTTTAGCTTGGAACAATGTGGTGCTTCTCATTATTGTACCTGGCAGATGATCTGTGTGCTGACGTGGCAGATGACACGGACGACCAATGCCGTGCGGAGCCTCGATTGGCAACACCAGAAGTCCGACCAGCAGCAGCGCGAACAGACGCGCCGCGAGCAGCAGAAGCGCGACCCGCGGAAGCGCGACTCGCAGCAGCGCGATTCGCAGCAGCGGCGCGCGCCGTGCTAAGGTCGTAGAGGCGCCGCTGCTGGTCGTCTGACAGCACCTCGTACGCCGCCACTATGGCCTGGAAGGCTCGGCCCGAACCTGAGGCTTGGGACACGTCCGGGTGATACTGCGGAGGTTAGGGAGAAGATGGGGACGGCGGGGGAGGAGTGGGCAGGAAGAAAGGGACGGTGGGAAAAGGGGTGAGGGGATATGCGGGGGGAAAGTGGGGCTACACGGAAGGGGGCGGAAGCACAACGCGACGCATCACAGATATTGCAAAGGACGACAAGCTTTTGAGCGGCTCTCTCTCTGTTTGTGCGCACCTTTCTCGCCATTTTTCGAAACGCCTTCTTTATTTCCTCTTTGTTCGCGTTATAAGGGACTCCCAGGGTTTGGTACAAGTCCGTCGCGGCTCGCACGAGCACCGCGCTCCTGGGTCGAGCGCGGAGAGGCTCGGAAGAAGAAGGCTTGAGGGGTGTCCCAAGGCTCGGTCCGAGCCGTAACCTGAGGCTCGGTCCGAGGCATTTCGCGCGGTTTGGCGGAGGCTCGAACGCGGATAATTTAGCCGACGAGAGAGGAAAGCGTCGATCCTGCGCCGTCGCTTCGCGAGCGGCTTTAATCGCGCAGACCGGGCCGCTATGGGCCACTGCGAGGGACATCGTCCTGACCCGCCCCTACGTCATAATAACTTCGATAATAACGGTGACGTAGGGCGCAACGGAAGTCATTCTACGTTGTCTTAGGCATGACGCTACGCGCTATAACGCATACATGCTCTTCCCAAGGGTTCTTCTCTTCCTCCCAAACAAACTGTACAGACGAACTGAAACTAGAGAGACCGCGACTCGAGTCGCTTGATGAACCGAGAAATAACGCGAGAAATAAACGTCTATAACGCGACGATACCGAGGCATCAAAATGCCATCAGCATCACCACCATACCACTCACTAGCCACCTCACACCACCCGCACGACTGACGACAACCAACCTAGACACGAGCAATGAGGGGCGAGGGGGAAACATAGCTGAGGTATGGGGGAGGCGTTTTCCGATTGGAGGAAAAAAGGTTTCCCGTAGGCGCGATCTCATAAATTCAAATAAGAGCTGCCCGTAAGGGAATTGGGAGATTTGTCCAGGAACAATCAGATAGGGAAAGTGGAATTGGAGTTGGAGAAATTGCGTCCGAGAAGTGGAACGATCTGCAGATGAATGGGGAAATGTTCAAAACTGCGAGGGATTCAAAACTTTTAGAAATGTTCTGGTTCGGCAACATCTGCTTGATGTGATAGGTAGCTGGGCGGGCTGACCTGTCACCTTTTGGCGCGAAAGGCGGAGTTGCGACAGTGATAGCACTACCAGAGACGCTCCATTACAAGCAGCGATCGTTACACAAAGCAATTCTTTAGTCTATGTTTGGGCTTCGGGATGATTGTTATTTGCACCCTTCTCATCTGAGGATGTGATTGCTCAGCGCTTGTAATATTACTTTGATGACTATTCGAGGTAAAGTTGTCAAACGGATTCCTTATAGATGGGATGGAATTCCAAGGGAACAAGAGAATTTCCTGGATAAGGGATTTTCAGCATTCAAATAACCATTATGTTCACCTCAAATCATGGAAGGCAAAAACATTTGCTCGGTGAGGTTCTGCGCGGCTTCCTCGGAAGGAAAGCTCCTGACAGCCCCGGTGGTCCACGAGGAAATCACTCCGGCGGAAATGGCAAAGCGAATGGCCCTCTCCAGGGCGTCGGGGTCGCGTAGAATAGAGGGGTTGGTGGAGAGCTTGCGCAAGAGACCTGGGAAGAAGGTGAGATGAAAAAGGGGGTGGGAAAAAGGGGGAGAGGGGGGGAGACGGGGGATGAAAAAGGGGAGTTCTTAAAAAATGGAAATCACTCCGGCAGAAATGGCAAAGCGAATGGCCCTCTCCAGCGCACTAGGTCGTGTAGAATAGAGGGGTTGGTGGAGAGCTTGCGCACAAGACCTGGCGGAGGAAAATCGTACAGGTGGTGAAAAAGGGGGAGGGCGAAAGGAGGCACAGAATGAGGGCAGTCGGGGATAAGAATCATAGATGTAATGTCATCATGCAATCAGCACATTCTCTGTGCCTTCCACCCACTCCACTCCTTTACCCCTCCTTCGATTCCCCTTTTCTCCCCCTTTTGATCATATAAGAACACACCTGCCACAAGCACATCCCCCGATCCAGCTCGATCTCTTGTCATTGCAGCAATCAGCACTTCTTGTGTGCCTTCCACCCACTGCTCTCCCTTTCCCCTCCTTCCCCATCCCCCTTTCTCCTACTTTCAATCACTGTTGATACAAGCACTCACCTGCCACTCACCTCTGTTAATCCCGAGAGGTACACTCACCTGCAACCAACGCATCTCCCGACCCAGCTCGGTCACACGTCATGGCAGCAATCAGCACGTCCTCTGTGCCCTCCACCCACTCCTTCCACCCACTCTTTCCCATCCTCCAGTCCCCCTGTTGCATACACACATGTTACAACAACCCTCACCTGCCACCAGCGCATCTCCCGAACCAGCTCTGTCGCACGTCATGGCAGCAATCAGCACGTCCCCTGTGCCCTCCACCCACTGCCCCCCCCACTGTTCCCCTCCCCATATCCCCCCACCCCTACTTTCATAAACACCTGCTACAACTGCACTCACCTGCCACGAGTGTATCCCCCGACCCAGCTCAGCCATGGCTCTGTCACTAACCAGCCATGGCAGCAATCAGCACGTCTTATGTGCGCTCCACCCACTCCTTTCCCCGCGCCTGCACCGCCAACCCAACCCCCCCTTCCTAAAACTACACCCACCTGCCACCAGCGCGTCCCCCGACCCAGCTCGATCACACGTCATGGCAGCGATTAGCACGTCCTCTGTGCCCTCCACCCACCCGTGAAAGCCCCTCCCGTAATAGTGCACCTGGCAGCGGGAAGAGGTAGAAGTATGGGGTGCAAGGGTGGGGGTTGACCAAATGATTAGACTCACTCACATGTGCCCTCCACCCACCCGTGAAAGCCCCTCCCGTAGTAGTGCACCTGGCAGGGTGGGGCGGAGAAGACGTGAATAGCAAGGGAACGCGAGGGGCAGTGAAGTCTCAGAAAGTGCAATGTGAAATTCCAAATGCAGTTTCAAAACAGGGGTGGGAGGGAGGACAAGGCGAATGGACGGATGCCATGCCATGCCATGCCATGCCATCCCACATGGAGAATCAGATTCATACCTGAATGGTCCCACGAGTCACCAGCAGTAACTCCATGCCTTCATGCCACAGCCCAGCCAATTCCTCCGGCTTCCAGTGATACACGCCCTCGCCCTCCCCCTCCTGACCTCATATCTGCATACTTTGAACCCTCACTTCTTCCATTCGTCCATACCTGCATGCCCCTATGCTCCAGTTTTCTCATACCTGCATGGTCCCATGGGTAACCAGCAGTAACTCCATGCCTTCATGCCACAACCCAGCCAATTCCTCCGAATTCCAGTGATACACGCCCTCCCGCTCCCACACCAGACCTCATATCGTACCTGCATGCTTCAATGCGTCACTTCTCTCATACCTGCATGGTCCCATGAGTCACCAGTAGCAACTCCATCCCTTCATGCCACAGCCCAGCTAATTCCTCCGGTTTCCAGTGATACACGCCCTCCCCCTCCCCCTCCTCCCTCTCCCCCCTCAGCGTCAGGTACGAGTCCGAGGCATATCGCACCCGAGCCTGCCGCCGCCGCAAGAACCGCTCCTCCCCAACCAGGAACTCAGCTTCGGCACGGGACACCTCCACCACCGAGGCTCGGCGCCAAACCGGATCCAGCGCTGCCAAGGCTGAGGCTCGGGAGGCCCAGAGGCAGAGAGGGAGGTTCACGTCGAGAAAGAGGCGCGGGGAGGAGGAGGGAGAGTGGGGGGAGGAGTGGGAGGAGTGGGGGGAGTGGGGGGAGGATGGGGTGAGGGAGTGTGAAGGCGGTGGGGAGGAAGTGGAGGACGCGAGTGGGTGGCAGCCTGCGGCGTCTAGTGCGGCGAGGAGTGCAGTGCGGTCGGAAGGGGTGGCGAGAGACATGGAGGTACAGTGAACCCACGAGGCCTGAAAGGGAAGGGGAGGGGGAGACGACAGGAGTGGAATGCGGTTAGAAGGTCTGCTGAGTGGTACCAGAAGGGACGAAGAGCACTGCCAAGAGAGAGAGAATAACTAAGGAGTAACTTGGGCCCATACACATTGAATAGATAAGGAGAAGAAAGGAGAATAGATAAAGTTGCGGCCTGCCTCAATGCAATGCGCATATCACACCCACCTGTCACAGCACGTCTTTTGTTTTTGCGTCTTCAAATACCACCTGCACCACCACAAACGCACCCACACCTGCCAAGTTCTGTAAAGCCTACAAAAACGTCCCATCTCACACACCCACCTGCCTCAGCACGTCCTGTGCGTCTTCAGATACACCTCCCCCAGAGCCTGCCGCTGCCGCCGCCTTTACTCTCCGCTCCCCATCACCCCTCTCCTCGCTTGGCTCCTTCCCCTCTTCCTCCTTTTCCCCTTCTTCTTCCTCTTGCCCTGCCACGTCACGCGCCTCCTCAGCCAATGGGAAGCCGACACGCCATGCAGTGCCCGCATTCTTACTCGACCCGCTGCCGCTCTTTTTAATCACCACCCCCCCTCTAATCACCTCTCCTTCTCGTAATTCTAACTCCTCCCTCGCCTTTGGATCTTCGTATTTTTCTTGCACTTGCGCCTTTTCTAGGGAAATTAGCTTTTCTCCGGTTCTCAATCCAGCTTGCATCTCCACGCCACGTGTCGACACGCCATTCGCGTCCAAGATTTCCAAAAACGCTTGCCCCGCCTCGTCATCCCCTACTGCTCCCACGAACGCCACGTCAGCATTCAGCCGCGCCAGCGCGACGGCCACCTGGCACGCCGGCCCGCCCGGGGCGCGCGCGAAATCAGGAGGCACCCACTGAAGATTGCGCCACGTGGCAAATATCTCGTCAGGGGCTTGCCGCGAGCTGCGTCGCACAACTGGAACGAATTCCCGAACCGCCTCCCCCACGCAAACCACCTGACTGGGGCCTGTAGGAACGAGCGGCGGAGACGGCGGCAAATTTTGTCGCCATGTGGGAGGGGGAAGCCCCCCCACCGACCTGCTTCCCCCAGCAGCGCCTCCGCTCGGCTGATCCTCGTTCCCGTTGGACCAATCAGCTTGCAGCAATCCCTCGTCATAATCTTCCGGTTCCCCATCCGAGCCCTCAATATTATCATCCGAACTCGAAAAGTCCTCCGCTACAGTCAAAATCTGTGCCGAATCGTCCTCCAATGCCCTACCCGATACAGTCACGATTTCGACAGATGTTTCCTTGAATTCCTCATGCGAGCTATTCGAGCCTGATTGGTCGAAACTGTCACCCGAAATCGCTAAGGCCCTCTGGAACCCTGAACCCTCGCCGTCAGACCCGCTGGATTCATCAGAGCTCTCCGACCACGAAACTTCATCGCCACTCTTTGGAACGTCCAGCGAACTTTCCGATCCTGCGGAGCTTTCCCTCGAAGTTTCGTCCTCCGGGGATTTGTTCTTCCGGGGCCTACCGCGTCGCCTAGAGCCGACGCGCTGCGAGGGTCCGTCAACGTCACTCCCGCTCGCTGACACGAGGAATCGCAAGGATTTCGTCGAGGGGCACCCTACGCCATAAATGTGACTATAAAGAGGCATAGCGACTAGGCGATACGCGTGAGAAAGCGGCGGCCTTCGTGGTAACACGGTACCGCGCTTGTACGGGGAAAGCAGTCTTCGCGAGTCCACCGTGAATAATGCGACTGGCGATACTACCGTTTCGGCAGCGGCAAGGGGTGCAGCCGCCATGATGACTTTCCTTCAATCGAATCGTCACAATTCTGTCTCCGCGATTTGATTCCGCGATGCTTCGCGCTACGCTCCTAATGCCTGAGCCAAGCTACTCCGCGCTACGCACCTGAGGTCTATGTCGTGGATGGGTTTTAGATCAGAGCTTACAGGCGTGGATGGCTGGAAACATTGTCCTCGCCAGGAGGAAAGTCGTTTTCTGGTAAGGAGGATCCAGCCAGTCCACTTTGCACTCGCCATCACTTCTGCAAGACATGTAAGGCGTAAAGCTCGAACAAAGTGCTGGATGTGGAGGATGTTGGAGAAAACATCCCGTTAAAAATCAGATATTATGAATCTTTGTATATGATAGAAACGGTTGCTTGACTGTTCTATACCCTAGGTTTATGGTAAATAATTTAGTTCAAGGAAGGCTCAGTGTTATTTTTACATGAACGTAATACAGTATATGCCAGACGTAGTGGGTAGCAGGGCGACTTACAAAGAGTAATTGTTACGGTTGAACAGTAGAAACTCCTTCCACACCCACCAAGACAGGCTCCACGCGGCAGCTGATGATGATGCTCTAGTTGTCAGCAAGCTACCGCACGCTCGGTTGATTGCTACTTCAGCACATTTCCTCGAAACTACAACATTTATTACTTTTGTCCGGAAGACGCGCCTGATGACGCAAGGATACTCTCCCATCTTCAGCAGTCTTGTTTCTTCCGCCTCTTTTCCTCGTCGCGATTTGCCAACCTTGAAATGTTGCCATCGATAGGTTTCCAGTTGGCCAACAAGGCCAGTTGGGAGCAGGGCTAAAGTTAGGCTTTTCGCCAACTCGGACGTTTTGGCTCCCTTCCAAAAAGGCCCTGAAAACGCAGGGTCGGCCTAAAAACGGCTCGTAAAAATCAGGGCTGGCTCGTAAAAAATCCTCGTTTACGTAATTCGATAGTTCCGCGTCAATAAGGACTTCTTTCTGACAAAAGCTGATGCTGAAACACTCTGTTGGTGCACTTATCCTCCTTTTGTGTGGAACTCTGCTCACAGAGAGCGATAGAGTATAGGTGCCTTTGACTAAGGAACAGAGGGGCGGGAGGGAACATTCACAAGTCCAGGAAGCGCGGGGAGAAGTCTACCTGTGTTGGGGAGGGGACGAGGTTGGGGGTGGTTAGAACCTTAGAAAAAGGTTCCGAGTCCTTCGAGGGATGACTCGTATTCACCAGAGTCAGTCCTGGAAGTGCTCGGATTCAGTCAGGGCTGGCCGAAAAATTCCCCTGTAAAAATCCGAGTTCGGCTGAAAAATACCTAGGATTTTCAGTCAAGGTCGAGCATTTACCCTGATAGCCTGAGCCCTGGTTGGGAGGATGAAGCCCCTTGCATTGCAACAGTGGCTCGTTGATTCGTTGCCGTTTCTTGTCACTTGTCGCTGCTGATTTGTAACCGACAAATAGGTTTCAATCCATCCATTCGTCCATCGTCAGCGATTTGCAGGAAACACACTGCCGCCCGCTCTTTCACCGTCTTCGCTGGACATGCGGCCAATCAAAACCCATTTTGCTTGGACCCGCTGTGATGTGGTGTCTCGTTCAGGCATCCATGTCGGCTACCCTATCATGAGCATATTATCAACCAATCAGCTGTCTGACACGCTGTATCTTGCCTCAAAATGGAACCACAGAGAAACTGATCCACAAATAACCAGACGAATACAGTGCGAATCGCCATGCCTTGTGAAAGTCTGAATCCCCGTCCAGAGCAGTGACCAAGCCCAGAAACAGGTGACACTAAGTTTCACTATTAGAACAGGTCCTCGACCCCCATCCACCACACTAGTTCACTCGACTTGAATTGCGAACCGCATTTCCGACTCAAAAGCTCCTCCTCATCAGAGCTCGCATATTCCTCACTCTCCGAAATCACCAAGCCTGTCTTCGTCCATCGTCTCTCGCTTCTTCCCCGCCATTCGTGTGCCAATAAGCACTTTGCTCTTCACTCACAGAATGTCAATTCCTGCCAATCACCTCGGCGCGAACGCTCACAACGATCTGTTCTTAAACCTTGCTCACAGAACTTCAGGAGCGAATCTTGGAGGTTCGAGTGGCAGTAGAGACGCTCTGGAGCAGGCTCGCGCGTCTAGCGACGTTACGGACTGCAGCGCGAGAAGTTTCGACTCGAAACCCTCACAGAACGTCGGCTTGAACCACCATCGGGCGGCACCTTTTCAGCCCTCTTCATCTCGGCAGAACAAGCAAATGCAAAAACAAGAGCAGCGACTGCAGCAGCAGCAACAGCTTCAGCTGCTTTTGCAGCGGCTGCAGCAGCAAGCAGAGCCAGCCGTTGCGGCTGTAGCTGAGAGGCTTCAACCGCCGCCTCCGCCGCCGCCGCAGCAGCAGCAGCAGCCGCAGTTGGGCTCTCCTGCTCCGAGAGCCGCGCTTGTGTCGTCGTTGCTGCAGCAGCTCGCGTCAACCTACGCCGCACCTCTCGCTGCAGCCGCTGCGAATGCCGACATCCGCTCCGCGCGCCAATCTGCGCTTCCCGGCGCCGGCTTCGTTGCACCGACGCTGCCGTCGCAAGCGACGACAGGCGCAACCAGAGGTGCGACATCCGCTGACGTGGCGGATGCTGCGACAAATTCGAAGAACGCAGCGTTGTCGGACTCCAATCAGGCCGCTGCGCTGCTTCAGATCGCGCGTCTCGTCGCCGCATCCCCTGGCTCTCGCGGCCCTCTCGCTCAGCTTCTCAACGCGGCGGAGGGCGGTGCGTCTCTCTTCCCCTCATCGTCCGTGCGGCCGACTTTCGCGTCAGATGCGCCACCGTACACGTCAATCTATCCTCCCCTCGCTGTGGGCGCCCCTCAAACTACACCCGCGGCTGCGTGGCTCAATCCGCGGAACTCCCCATCGGCGGAGGGTCCGCGCGCCAGCCTCCGCGATCTGAACGTCGCGGCCGGAGCCCTTGCGGCCGCCGCTGCGCCTGATAGTCCGCAGGCGCGAGCACTCGGGGGAACTGGCGCGTATGGGGAAGCTGTGAGCACCGAACGCGCATCGCTGAAGCGGAAATCTTGGGATCTGGCTGATGGTGAGGGGCGTAGAGCATCGAACGCGCCGTTCCCCACCAGCGGGTCCGGTGGGAAGAGCTTTGGGGCTTTGTTTTCCCCCCCAGCAAAATTTAGGCCTAGGGTTTTCAGTTCGGAAAGAGGTCGATTGAGTGGAAGCTCGGAGGAGGAACGGGAAGGTAAGGAGAGCGGCGGGGCTTTCATGGAGGGTCAGGGGGAGTGGGAGAATGGTGAGGCGGAGGGGGAGGGGGAAGGGGAAGGGGAAGGGGAGGGAGGAGCTGAGATGAATGGCAACAAGAAGAAGATGCGGCTTACGAGGGAGCAACTATCAATGCTGGAGGACTTTTTCAAGAAGCATCCGCATTTGACGCCGCGGCAAAAGGCGGGTTTGGCAAAGAGTTTGGGCGTGCGGGTGCGGCAGGTGGAGGTGTGGTTTCAGAACCGGCGGGCGCGCACCAAGGTGAAGCAGACAGAGGCGGAGCTTGAGGGGCTGAGGAGGCGATGCCAACTGCTGGCCGAAGAGAATAAGCGGCTCAAGCTGCAGCTGGCTGTGAGGGAGAGGGATGAGGAGGAAGCGAAAAGAAAAGAGATGGTGGGGACTTCCAGGAGCATGGATGGGCAGGCAAGCGAGAACTCGATGAAGGCTATTGAAGCAAGGGGGCCCAAGTGCAACTCTTGTCATGCAGATAAGGAATTGGAAGTGGAGGAAACACCTGTAGAAGAGGGGGACGTCCCATTTATCAAGTTTTTGTAAATAGACGGCACTTATCTCACGGTTAATTGTGCTGTATACCACCCGTATGACAGTGTCAATTTGCATGTAGAAAATCTCATATTTTCTTCAATATGTTATGCTTGTGACACGTGATGGATATGCACATGTAAGCTTCAAATTGTACCTAATCAAAATGAATGTTACAGATCTGTGGTTATCGTTCTGGAGGGCGTGTTTTGCTGGGTGACACCATTCGTAAGTATGGAACGCTAATTACATGTTTGTGGAACAGCACTCAGCCCACCCACATCACATCGACCCAATCAGCTACAGTACCTTGGCCTGGAAGCCAGCCTTGTTACTGTACATCAGCTCATTCTCCGAAGGTGCGTCATTAATGCTAGCAGCATCACTACGTCATGGATGACGGTCGTAAACTTGTCAATTTTCCAATTCTCATTTCCATGTCGCTTCTGTGTACTGTAGCGGTGTCGTCTGGGGACTTTCAACAAAACGAAGTTCTCACAGGCCCCCACCCCACCAACGACTCTGCTCCAGCTGTTCCCAAACCATCCCACCGAACCAAATGCAGCCACATTTGATCACTGTGTGATTGCGACTGCTAGCTCAACTTTCCCAATCGACACTCCGTTGACATGCCACCCGATGATTGCCAAAACAGAAGCAATCAAACAGCTGGATAGAAGTTGTGCTTGTCTTTTTGGCGTCCCGACCAGCTGGCCTCCAAGCTGGATGAGATTCAACAGTAAGCCTGCCAAGAAATAACCGCTTTACTGCTTGTTGGAAATCCGGGCACAGCGCTAGTCAGCGCTAGGAAATTAATGCGAGGTAGTGTTCAGCGAATCATGTTTGCGACGTGGAGGAATCAGTGCTATACGGCGTATTTCTTGGCGTAGATAGCATGCCCACCAGGTTGTGTGTTTCTAGGGCCCTGTTCGCCACGACCACGTTATAGGCGAGGGGCGGGAATGGGCGAGGGCTCCAGAAGGCGCTTCGGAAGTTGCAAATTACGTCCGGGGGCTCATCCCCGGCTGAAATCTCGCCGGTGGGATCCGGAAGGGGGACAAGGGGATCCTGCACCTGCCTCACCCCTTCCTTTAGGGCGAAATTGTTTGTCCATCCCGTTGGGCGCCTCCTAAATTGGTGGTATGCACGAGGGAGAGGCGAGGCGATGTTCGGCTGCCACAGGTGTTGGGAGGAAGGGGATGGGGTGGGGCATCGAAACGCCGAGCCTTCTGGTTCGACCTGTTCGAACTAGGCAAAACACTTCGGTCAGAAAAGAAAATTGCAAAAAAAGTGTCGGACGTGAGCCTAAAACGCGACGCGAACCCCGCTAGGCGTGAACCCGCGTCGCGTCCTCCCCCACATTCTCCCCCAAGGCGGAAAAACTCTGCCCTAGTGTTCAGGGCATGGGAAGTGCATTCCCGTGGGTGGTCTAAGCCCACGGAGGATGAAAAATGCATGCCCCCTTCCACGATTTTCATTTATAAAGTTACCCCACCCACTAAAAAACCAATATTACGGACCTCGAAATTATAATGCCAAACACACAGACTTAAAATGAACTCGCTAAATTAATCTAATGTCGAACGTAATTTTCACCCTTAATTTTATTTACAGTGTACAACATTTCAGGTATGTGAGTTACCCAAACAAATCGCAACAGTAAATTTGGGAAAACTGTTCAGCTCGCGAAGTTTCGTTTCGCGCGGCTGCAGTTTCGTGGGCCCCCATTTCCCGAATCGCTCGTCCGCGCTTTTTCCCCCACACGTTCCGCTTCCGCCTGGACCCCCGACTTGGAGTCAACGACAGTTGACTCCGAGCTGACCACCCCGAACAAGAAACCCTAGCTGAAATTTCGATCCCTCCCCCCATCCCTCGGTCGATGCCTTGTGGCAGCCGAACATCGCCCGAGGGGGGGAATGGGGTTCCTAGCTGGGAGGGCAGGAAACTGCCATGCGCATTCCGGATCCCCCGCCCCAACCCATAAAAGTGGGTGTTCGCCACGACAGCGAGCCCACCGAGGTTCGGAGGGTATCGTCAGGCTCGACAGGGATTTTGTCGGTCTGACCGGCCCCAAAACCCTGATTTCAGCCCTTTTTGAAGGTGCAGGGCGGGTTCCGGATCCCCCGCCCATCCCATTGAAGGCTATAAAAAGACGTGGCGAACAGGGCCTAGGTTTCAGAACTGATGGGCCGAACCAGCCGAATCAGGGCTGAACGAGGCTGTGTTTGTGCACAATACGTTCTGACGGGGGTGTCATTACGTTCTGATTGCAGGGTGAACGAGACGTGCTGCAAGATGCGGATGCTGCAAAACTGACGTCATCTCATCAATCTCTAGAACAGCCTGTCACGACTTGCTGCACAGTGATGCAAAGACTACAGTACTTGTCTGTAGCCGCCGCATTTGCCATCTCAGTTCCCCCCAGTCTCAGATGAGGACGAAGACAACAGGCGTCACTCGTTATCGATGATCGTCGCGCGATTGGCTGCAATTTTTATTCACACGCGGTGGGTGACTCGTGTGAGGCGAGGCGACGCAACGACGGCAGCAGCATGCCTCCCCCGCCCAAACTTCCCATATTCAACTGTACACTTCGACTCTGATCGGGTCAGTGTTCGGTTCGCTTGTGCATGTCAATGCGGCAGCCACCGCAGCACCAAGCCATCAATTCACAGCTGCCCCCGCTTCAAAATTTTCACGCCTGCGCGGTGGTCCGTCCTGGCGACGAGACAATGTGATTTGACCCGACCTCTCATCCACACGTGTATCATCAAAGAACAGAGCACTTCTTGTTTCATCCTAGCGGGCAGGTCACATACGTTAATATTTCACCACCGTTCCCAACCGATTCTTCTGTTATTCATAAACAAATATGACTGAGCCAATCATATGTGTCTGCCGGGCATCCCCCTCCACGACCCCGTCAAGCACAAGACATTACACACGATGCCCGTTTGACTAACCCAAGGTCGCCTTACCAAGAGGGCTCTTAAGTGATTCTTGCATTTCGCTAAGCTTTCGTCAATTCGCACTTAGCAAAAAGGGCTTTTAAAAGATTTTGTAACTCGCTGTTGACCGTTTGACATGGGTCTCTTCTGTCAAACTTCGGTTTTTGTGGTTCGTATTGCTCGAGGTGCTTGTAAATGGGGTGCAACTGGCTGGTACCCTAATACACGGGTGCAGAGTTTCCATCCAAGGAGGGCAAATTTGCGTGCAGGGGCTGGGCATCTTGTGTATTTCTATAACTTATTTCTCTCCATTTAGCGAGTTAATCTGTCAATTGGGACTTCTGGGACTTCGTCAGCTGGCCACTGGCTCGTGCTGGCTCCTCGTTGGACGTAGTCTGCTTTGCAAATGCTCTGAGCATTTATCTGCGTGCTGTTTTGCTTGAAACGACGCTTTGGGAAAACTGACCAACGACATTTGTCACTCCAGCTGTTGAGATGGTAAGATAGTACTTCGGTCAATCCTTTCTCTCTTCATAAACATTTTTTCTTCCAAATACTATCCTACAGAACCGCAATGGTAACTCCTGTTCTCACCACGTTTCGACCCCAACTACTAATACTTCTATTTTTTCTCCCCTTTTCCCCCATTTCTCGTGCGCAGGCGTTCTGTCTCAACGAGCCTCCGCTGGCTTGGGGGATTCCGGCACGTCAGAACGACACGAATGAATCTCACGGATTGGCCTCCGGAAAATGCGGCGCGAGCCTTGGGCTATCCCTCGGCCTAACCTCCGGCAACGGTGACAGAAATTTCCTCGACGCAACTCCCGGCGCGAACCCCGCCGATCCAGTAAAGACCGAAGAAACGCACTCCGCATATCGCTTCCCAATCCCCTTCAGCGGTCACAGCGACAGGAGCCATGGCGAGTCGCAGGTAGCTTCCGATCCTGCGCCACTCACGCCGGCATCTCCGCCGTCTCCGTCGTCGCATGAACAGAGCTTACCCGGCGCGCCGGCCGCCTTTACAACCACCATGAGCCTCCAATCGTGTTTGACGCAGCCGCCGCTGCAGCCGCAGCCGCAGCCGCAGCCGCAACCGCAGGCGCAAGCGCAAGCGGTTCAACTTGCTCAGGCTCAGGCGCAGGTTCAGGCTCTAAACGAAGAACAGAAGCGACAGCTGCTGCGGCTGCTGCAGCAGCACCACCAGAAGCTCGTGCAGGTGCAGCAGCACAAGCAGCATCTCCAGCACCAACTCTCCGCGCCGCGCTTCACCGCATCCAACCGTAGCCAACACGGCGAGCTCGAGGCTCGCGCTCGCGACCAAGACGAGCCTTCTCGCGAAAGCGATCTGATGACGTCAGCGGGAGCAAAAACTGCTTCCGTAGCGCCGGAAGCATCAGCCGTGGGCGTACGGTTTCCGATCCAAAATCCTCCGATCGTATCAAATCCTATCGAGGGTTCGACAAGGGTTGACGCCGCGTCACTACTAGCTCGACTTTGGAGCGCTCCGCCCGCCGCAAATCCCGAATATTCCGCGAATCCCACAGCTACTAGTAGTAACACCCCTTCGTCGCTACCCGCAGCCCTTCTGCGCAGATCTGCTTTAGCCGCCCCCGCCGCCACTGAGTTCGCGAGCGCCGCGGAAGCCGCCGCTTCCGCCACGCCCTCGCGCTCCTTACCGCGCGAGTTCATCGCGCCTAGCCCCGCCGCGGGGGGAGCTAGCGGGGCTAGTAGCGCTGTCGCCGCGATGGCGCACTGTGCCTCCGCGGATCCAGGTTTTGGGGGTTCGGGGGGGGCGGGGCTTGCGGGGATGGCGAGGAAATTGGCGGAAATTCTGAGCGCGAGGGCGGAAGGTAGCGTGTGCGCGGATGCAGCTGTGATGACTGCTGCTTCTACTGCTGCTGCTGCTGCTGCTGCCGCCGCCGCCGCTGCTGGTGGTGCTGCTGACTTGTTGCAACATACGAGCAGGTTTGCGCTCCCAGCGATTGGTGTTGATGGGTCGTCAATGCTCGTTGCGCCGCCCGCTTCCTCGCTTAAGAAAGCCTTGTCGCCACGTGGACTTGATCT